TCCTTTTCCCTGTCCCGTTCCCTCTTCCCCTGTCCTCCTCCTTTGGCATCTCAAAGTGGCCTTGCCTTATGGGCTTTCTCCTCCATCCCTGTCCTTGCAGCTCCCGCCCTGGACCGAAATGAGGAGCCCTTGAGAATAGCTGCTGTCTCTGGGAGGACCCAGGCGTCCTTGGCAGCCCGGCTGGTGAGTCAGGAGGTAGAGGGGTAGGAACAGGGCTGGCTGTGGCAGGCTAGGCCTTAGCATTGAGGTGGGGAGAGGGTTGATGGAGGCTGACATCTGATAGCCCATTTTCCATTTTGAGAACTGAACTTGAGAGGCAGAGGGTGAGGCCCAGAGAGCTTGCTAAGAGCCTTCCAGCAGGGCTTGGAACCTTGGAACAGGGGAGGGGTATGGGACAAAGGGACAGGGCTGGGGCCAGCAGGCTGGGTTGCGGGTTGGAGTCCCCTCCTTGCCTGGCAAGTTTTGTTATCTTTCTCATTCTCAGGCTCTATTCATGATTATCACATTCTCTTTTAATTTTTATTTACTTTTTGGAAAATGATACAAAATTAAAAAGATACAGAAGGGTATAGTGTCTCCTGTCTTCCCAGCTGTCAGTTCCCCTCCCCAAACACAGTTTTATATGTATCCGTCCAGTTTTGTGTGTTTATATTTGCATATATATACTATATATATAGTTTTTCTTTAACCCAGATATTTACGTAACACTATTCTCCATCTTGCTTTTCCACTTAACACATCTTTAATATAATTTTATGTGAAGTTTAGAATCTGCTGGTCTCAACAACTTCCAGTTGGCAATTTTAGTTGGGATGGTGTTAAAGTTTTAGTTTAGCCCCAGAGGAACTAGCATCTGTACAATGTTGAAGTGAAAAGTCTCCAGCCGGGTGTGGTGGCTCACGCCTGTAATCCCAGCACTTTAGGAGGCTGAGGCGGGCAGATCACGGGGCAAGGAGTCTGAGACCAGCCTGGCCAACATGGTGAAACTCCATCTCTACTAACAAAATACAGAAAATTAGCTAGGTGTGGTAGCAGGCACCTGTAATCCAGGCTACTTGGGAGGCTGAATTGCTTGAACCCTGGAGGTGGAGGTTGCAGTGAACCGAGATTGCGCCACTGCACTCTAGCCTGGGTGACAATGTGAGACTCCATCTCAAAAATAAAAAATAAAAATAAAAATAAAAAGTCTCCCTTTCCCCAGAGGTGGATTTTCAGGGAAGCTGGAGTTTGAGGTGTAGGGCTCCTTCCAGGATCTAAAGAGGGGCCCAAACAGTGTGTGCCTATGGTCATGTGTTTTTGTGATTTTTGTAAAAGTGATACTCTTAAGGAGAGTGTGTTGGTTGGTCCCTTTTGCATTGCAATCAAGGAATACCCTGAGTAATTTATAAAGAAAAGAGATTTATTTGGCTCAGGGCTCTGTAGGCTATACAAGCATGGCACCAGCATCTGCTCAGCTTCTGGTGAGGCCTCAGGAAGCTTTTAGTCAGGGTGAAAGGTGAAGGAGGAGACACGTCACATGGTGAGAGAGGGAGCAAGAGAGAAGGCAGGCTCTTTTAACTAGCTAGCTCTATGTGAGCAAAGAGTGAGAACTCATTTGTTACTGTGGGGAGGGCGCCAGGCTATTCATAAGGGATCTATCCCTGTGACCCCAACACCTCCCAGTAGGTCCACCTCCAACACTGGGGGTCACATTTTAACGAGATTTGGAGAGGACAAACACCCAAACCATATCAGAGGGCACCTAAATTGTGTAAGCTTCAGGCCGCATAAACTTCAGGCCCTTATGAACTCTGGATCTTCCTTCCCTTCCCTCCTGTCCCTTCAGTCCTTAGTTTTCTTCCTAGGAGGAAGCTGGTAACTGTCACCTTACCCCCGTGTGTCTTTTCAGAGATACTTTGTTCATTTTCCGGTACTGCGCACTGCTCCATGCTCTCCCTTGTTTTTTTTTTTTCCACAAAGAGAGACTGTTACACAAACTGTTCTGTACTTTCGTTACTCATTTAACAGTGTATCTTGTAGGTCATCCCATTCCAGTATGTAAGGAGTTTCCTCATTCTTACAGCCACTCAGTATTCTATTGCACAACTACACCCTAATTTAGTTAACCATTCTCCCATTGATGGAGTATTCTATTGTATGACTATACCATAATTTAGTTAATCATTCTGGACATTTTGGTTATTTCCATTCTTTTGCTATGAAACACAGGCGCTGCAGCCAGTAACCTTCTATATAGGTCAATTCTGGTGGGTGCCAGTAAAAGTGCAGGCCTACAGGTAGCTGGGTCAGCCATCTGCATCTCTTTTTTCTTTTTCTTTTTCTTTTTTTTTTTTTTTTGAGATGGAGCCTCTCTCTGCCATCCAGGCTGGAGTGCAATGGTGCGGTCTGGGCTCACTACAGTCTCCACCTCCTGGGTTCAAGTGATTCTTCTGCCTCAGACTTTTGAGCAGCTGGGATTACAGGTGCCTGCCACCATGCCTGGCTAACTTTTTGTATTTTTAGTAAAGATGGAGTTTTACCATGTTGGCCAGTCTGGTCTCGAACTCTTGACCTCAGGTGATCTACCCACCTTGGCTTCCCAAAGTGCTGGTATTACAGGCATGAGCCACCGCACCCAGCCCAGACGTGTGCATCTCTTAGGGCTTTCGTGCCTAGAGGTATTCCATGGCCAGGGAGGGGATGCCCCACGGCATTACCAATGCTTGTATTTTCCAACTTTATTGCTCTTTGACAGCCTGATAGGTGGAAAGCAGTATTTCAGAATATTTTACATTTGTATTTCCTGGTATGGGGGAGGTTACGTTCCTTTCAGATATTTAAGAGCCATTTATATTTTCCTTTCTGTGAATTTTTTCATTCATACTCCTTGCCCGTTTTTCTGTTAGATCATTGACTTGTTTCTTATTTCTGCATGCTTTTCAGCTATTAGGAAAATGAGCCCTTTGTTTGGAATATGAGTGGCGGATATCCCCTAGTTTGTCAATTAGCTCTTGGCTTTGCTTTTTACCGTGCAAGAGTGCTTGATTTTTGCAGAGCTGAATATTTCAGTCTTTTCTGTGTGCCTTCTGGATTTGTTTCATTTCCAAAAGGCTTTTGCCTCTCTGACATGATTTAAAAAAATTTTTTTTAGAGGCTGAGTCTCAGTCTATTGCCCATGGTAGAGTACAGTGATGTGTGGTGGTATGATCATAGCTCATAGCTCACTGCAGCCTTGAACTCCTGGGCTCAAGCAATCCTCTCACCTCATCCTCCCAAGTAGCTGAGACTGCAACTGCAAGTGTGTAGCTGGTTAACTTTTTTTTTTTTTTTTGTAGAGATAGTCTTGCTATGTTGTTCAGGCTGATCTTAAACTCCTGGCCTCAAGCAGTCCTCTTGCATTAGCCTCCCAAAGTGTTGGGCTTACAGGCATGAGCCACCATGTCAAACCCCGAGATGATTTTGTAAATCCTTTCTTTTTTTTTTTTTTGTGAGACAGTTTCTCTCTCTGTCACCCAGGCTGGAGTGCAGTGTCACTATCTCAGCTCACCGCAACCTCCACCTCCTGGGTTCAAGCGATTCTCCTGCCTTAGCCTCCTGAGTAGCTGAGATTACAGGTGCTTGCCACCACGCCCAGCTAATTTTTTGTATTTTTATTAGCGATGAGGGTTTGCCATGTTGGCCACGCTGGTCTCAAACTCCTGACCTCAGGGTATACGCTCGCATTCCAAAGTTCTAGGATTTTAGACTTGAGCCACCTCGCCTGGCTGTGATTTTTTTGAATACTGAAGTCTTTGATCCAGCTGTAATTTTTCTTGTAAAGTGTGAGGTAGAGATCCACCATAGTTTTTTTTTGAGAGCATTCCACAGCTGTCCCAACAACTTGATAATCCCTTGTCTCCCCACAAGTTTGAGAGGCTACTTTTAGTGTATCCTATCCTAAATTTGTGTATGTATTTGGGTCTACTTTTGAACTTTCTGTTCTGTTTAATTAATCGATCTGTTCATGTGCTGGTATCCTATACTGTTTTAATCATTGTGGGTTTATAATATGTTTTAACATGTGGTGAGGTTGATTCCTACTCTTTACCCTTCCCACCCTCTTCCTGCTTCCAGAATTTTCCTGACTCTTCCTGCTTATTTATTTTCCCACATGAATTTTCAAATCAACTTGTTTAGCTTAAAAAAAAATTCTGTGTACATATTTAATTGGATTGTGTACATTTATAAAGTAACTTAGACATCATTAATCTCTTTATGTTGTCTTCTATCCGGAATTTACTATGCCTTGCCATTTGTCTAAGTCTTCTTTTTGTCTCTCAATAACACGCCCAATTTTTCTTCCTATAGCTGTTGTTTATCTCTTATGAAATTTATTCTCAGTGTTTTCTGTTTTGTGATGCTCTTGTAAATGAGGTCTTTCATCCTGGTTTCTACCTGGTTACTGTTTATAAATGTTGATTTCTGTTATATTAATTTTGTTTGTTGTTTGTTTGTTTGTTTTTTTTTGGAGACAGGGACTTGCTCTGTTGGCCAGGCTGGGGTGAAGTGGCATGATCTTGGCTCATGGCAACCTCTGCCTCCCAAGTTCAAGCGATTCTCCTGCCTCAGCCTCCTGAGTAGCTGGGAGTACAGGTGCATGCCGCCATGCCTGGCTAATTTTTTGTATTTTAGTAGAGACGAGGTTTCACCGTATTGCCCAGGCTGGTCTCAAACTCCTGTTCTCAGGCAATCTGCCTGCCTCGTCCTCCCAAAGGGCTAGGATTACAGGCATGAGCCACTGTGCCCAGCCAGTCTGTTATGTTAATTTTGAACCCAATAACTGAAGTCTTTACTGGTTGTGATAGTTTCTCAGCTGAGCTTCTTGGGCTTTCCAACTCAATACTCATATTATTGGCAATGAATGGATAGTTTATTTCTTCCTTTCTGATTTTAATACCTCTTGTTTATTTTTGTTGTCCAGGGCTTTCAGAGCAATGTGAGAAATAATAATAACAACAGTAAAATGGATATCCTTTTCTCATTTAGGAAAGTATCAATTTATTTCTGTTTTAGTAAGATTTTGTTTGTGTAAGTAAGCTGGATATTGAATTTTATCGTATGCCTCTCCAGTGTCTGTGGAGAGAATCGGATGACTTTTCCCTTTGATCTGCTCATCACCTCTTCCGGTCACCTTCTCTTCACATCACCTCTTGACTCCCACCAGGCTAGGAGCTCTTAATTGCAGGGTGCAGGGGTGGAGCCTGAGTCCTCATTGCCTAGTGCCAGGCGATTTTGAAAGAACAAATGAATGAATGACCTTAGTGGTGAGAGGATTTACCCAATTCCAGGGCCAGGCCCCCAGAGGCCATGTGACTAATGCTGGGTTTACTCACCTCGTACACTTCCTCCATGGGCATAGGGGTAAGGGGAGGCTAGTCTGGGCTCCCAGACTGGGCTTGCAGGAGAGACCAGCAGTGAGTGGTGTCCTTCAACGCTTGCTAAGTGCTTATCCTGGCCCTCACGGGGAACTGGTGCCTCAGAGAGAATTGGCCCTGCCCTGGGTCTTGCAGAGGGCAGTGGGGAGGAGATACCAGACATAGCACCAGTCACGCCACTGGCCAGTCTCACAGCAGTGGCTGAGGCCGTGTGTTGGGGTGTGGGGTGGTGCCGATCCCAGAGATCATGGAGGGTTTTCTAGAGAAGAAAATGTGAGCTGGATGCTGGGATAGCACAGGGAAAGGGGTGAGGGGGCTCAGGCAGGGAGAAGAACCTGTGTATTCAGGGACCTGGTGGTACCTGGCCTTGCCTAGCACATGGAGCACTGGGGAGGAAGCTCCAGGACAGAACCCGAACCCGTGGCTTGAGAGGGCCATGCAGGCTGCTGGTGAGGGGACCACTCTCGGCAACCCTGCCTCTGACCTGTGCCTGTTTGTCTATTCCAGCTCCGGACAGAGCCCTGCCAGTCGGACCTCTGCTGGCAGGAACCATGGCAGAGGCTGGGGATGCTGCGCTGTCGGTGGCCGAGTGGCTGCGGGCATTGCACCTGGAGCAGTACACAGGGCTCTTTGAGCAGCATGGCCTGGTGTGGGCCACTGAGTGCCAAGGCCTCAGCGACGCCCGCCTGATGGACATGGGCATGCTACTCCCTGGCCACCGCCGCCGCATCCTGGCTGGCCTGCTCCGTGCCCACACCCCGCCGGCCCCCGCACCCCGCCCCACCCCACGGCCGGTGCCCATGAAGCGCCACATCTTCCGCTCACCACCTGCGCCCGCCACTCCACCAGAGCCGCCGCCTGCCGCTGCTACAGAGGATGAGGGGCTCCCCGTCGCCCCGCCCATCCCACCCCGGAGGAGCGGCCTTCCGCCCACGTGCTTCGCCGCCCAGTCCACAGCCATCCCGGACCCGGTGCTGCCCCCGCTGCCTGCTAAGCAGCATTTGGCAGAGCTGAGCGTTCCACCCGTTCCGCCCCGCACCGTACCCCCCCGCCTGCTGGTGAGGTGAGTGGATGCCACCCAGCGTGGGAGGCGCACGGGCAGAGGATCCCAGAGGCTTGAGGAGGAGTTTGTGGCCTTTGGTGCTGGGATAAGAAGGGCGCTTCGGAAGTGCAGGGAACAGCTGCGCAGAGCTCGGAGGAGAGAGCTGTCTGGGAACTCGGGAGGCGGGAAGAGCTGTCCAGGTACTCAGTGTAGTGCTGGGGTTGTTGGGCACCTGCATGCAGGTGAGGCCTCCACATTTCTGTCTTGGGTGGCTGGGTGGACAGTGGTGCCGTCACTGATCCAGAGACCCAGGAACAGAAGTGAGTGTGAGAGGAAGTCGAGTTCAGCTTGGGACCTGGCAGGTGTGAGCTAGTGCAGGGCATCAGGAGGCAACACGTGGAGGAAACGGAAAACTGGAGGGTTGGGGCAGGGCTGAGGGGACTGCCCAGGTCCTGGTGCTGTTCTCTTTCACACCCTGCTCACTTCTCCCATTGCCAAATGTCACCAAATCCCGGGACACGTCTCAGGCCTCATCCTGCATGCCCTCCCTCTCAGAACTGTTTTCCCTCCTGGGCTCCTGGTACCCTGTGTTTTTCTTGAGTTTCTCCTAGCTCCTGTGGATGTTCCATGTTAATCTCCTTCACAGGTACCCTCCCTTCCTGCCATCTACTAGGGTGCCCGGCTGTCAGGGAGCATCCCCAGACGGTAGATATGTGTTCAGGGTGGGGGGGGCGGGATTTGGTGGAGCACTTGGGTGAAGTCTGGCTAGTCTTGGAAGGCTTCTTAGAGGAGGAAGGGGTGTGTGGAAAGCGGTCTCCTGGTCCCCACTGTTTGTTTTGAGGCACTCTGCTGGGCTCTGTGCTTCCACAGTCTCATCGATCCCTGCATCAGGACTCCTGGGAGATTCGTGTGCTGGCTTCACGCAGGACAGGAACGAATCTGAGAGACAGCAGGCAGGGGGGCCCTGGCTGCATCGAGGCCAAGTGTATAGTCAAGGGGGCCTTGTAGGGCAGATGTGGGAGATTCTTCCCACCCAGGGAGGAGTATTAAGTCAGTGGACCTTGAAAGCCGAGCTAGTGCTGTGGTGTTTTGAGTGTTGATTGGTGGAAGCACAAAAAGGGTACATGCTCCTCCAGGGTTTACACAACTGGTAACAGGTATAGGGTCTCTTCAGGAGCCTAGAGGGAGGCTCAGATGGAAGTTTCCTGGTGTCCTTGCGCCCTCTAGTGACCATTCTTCTGTATGCAGGAGCAATTTCTATTTCAACCCCAACAGCTGGCTGGGGAGAGAAAGAGAGAGGAGATAGCCGGGAGAGAGGATAGAGGAGACAAAGTCTGTCTGTCTCTGGGGTTCGAAGTGGGTGAACAAAGGGAAGAGGCAGGGCCCTGGCCAGGTCCCCTCTCAGGCCCTTCCTATGACCCCCAGTCGGGCAGTAGAGGCCTGGGTTTCTGCTGAGAAGGCAGGATGCCTGGGTTGGGCCCAGCTAGCTGTGTGACTCTGATGAGGACCTGCTCCTCTGGGCCTGTTTCCCCATCAGGTGCCCTCCATGGTCCTCCACAGCCTGCTGGCCCCTCCTGGTACTGACATCTGAGTTCAGGAGGCTTGCTGGGTAGGAGGAGAGCCCTGTCCACGCCCCTGGGCCCCAGGGTACCAACCCCTACTCTCAGAGCCTGTGTGAACGTAGCCACTTAGCCAACATGAGGAGGAGACCAGGCCCCGTGGTCAGGAGGCGGTCTGGCTCCCTGTAGTTCGAGGACTCAAAATCTGTCCTGTGCAAATTATTTCCTGCAATTTGGAATTATTTCTCACAGCAGAGTAGGGTGGGTAAGCTGCCAAGCCTGGCTTCTGTGTCTGGGGGTCTTTGGCAGTTGGAGTCGTGGGCATCTGCAGACCTCAGCTTTGTACTCAATCAGCTCAGAGAGTGTACAAAGTCTTCAAAGCCCTGTGGTAGGAAAACTCACAGCAGATGGAGCCTCCTGTGAGCCGGGTCCTGTGGTGATCAGGGTGGGGCCCAACATGGAGCCCGACTGGCCACCCTGCCCCTTCTCAGCCCCTTCCTGTGACCCCCAGGCTCCATGGCATGTGGAGGAACACTGCTCCTGCCCACCCCCTTGTGGGAGTCCCACCACAATGTCACATGACATGAGCTTCCTACCCCTGCTTGCAACTCCTCGTGATGGGGAACTCACTCCCTCAACCTTGGGGCCTTTCACACAGGTCATGTGGTAGCTGAGGCCTGTCATCTCCAGGCTCCCTCGTGAGGTGTGGGGGCGGATGGATGCATGTGCACGTGTGTACTCGCAGGGTCTTGAATCAGTGTGAGGCATGCCTGGGGCCGTCTGTGTGTGCACCCGTAGAGATGGGTGCAGGTGGCTGTGCAGGCTGTCAGGGTAGTCATGTGTCTGTGCATTTATACATTCAGACGGGTTCTGAGAGTGTGTGATACTAAGATGTAAAAGCGTGTAGAGATTTGTGCAGTTTCAGCAGTGACATGAAGTGGTGTGTGTGGGAGTTTATGGGGACCTTTGTGCTCACGTGTACTGCTGTGGTGGGAACCCCGACAGTATGTGAGTACATGTGTGAGTGTGCACATGCTGTTTGAGCATTACATGGCATGTGTGTTATTTGTGCACTGTCAGGCTTGAGCCAGTGTGTGCATGTGTGTGTACATATGCTGCCATGAGAGTGAGCCCATTAGGATGTCAGCTCCACTGGGGCCAGGATCCTGGTCGATTTTGTTTGCTGCTGAATTTCAAACATCTAGAACAATGCTGCGTGCCTCCTGGGCCCTCGGGAAGTATATCGTGTGGGTGAGTAGATGAATGCCAATGCGAGCTGTGTACTGGCAGGTGCTGAGCTTGGGGTGCATGTGAGTAAACATGCATGTGACTCAGCACCCAGTGGGCGCTGTCAGCACAGCTGGGCCATAGGGCCCTGAGCTCACTGCCCCAGCTCCCCTTCCCCCATCCTACTACCCAACCTATGTCATCCCGGATGTTTTAGGAAGAGGGAGGTCTTCAGAGGAGACAGGTTGGGAGAACAGGGCTGCTGGGACAGGATTCTAGGCCACAGACCAAGGTTTAGGCAAATCAGAAAACAAGCAAGGATAGAGTTCCCTCCTCCCTGTCCTGGCATGACCCAGGACTCTCAGAACCAGGCTCATCATTCTGCCTGGCCTGTGGGGACTCCACACCACCCCCAGAGTCTGCACCCCATGCCGTTATTATCATCATCATTGTTAACAGAGACAGGGTCTCTCTGTTGCCCAGGCTGGAGCGCAGTGGTGCCATCATAGCTCACTGTAGCCTCGAACTCCTGGGCTCCAGCCATCCTCCCACCTAAGCCTCCCGAGTAGCTGAGACTACAAGTGTGCGGTGCCATGCCTGGCTAATTTTTAAATTTTTTGTAAAGACGAGGTCTTGCTTTGTTGCCCACGCTGGTCTCAAACTCCTGGGCTCAGGCAATCGTCCTGCCTCAACCTCCCCAAGCACTGGGATTATAGGTGTAAGCCATCGCACTTGGCCCCATACCATTAATTTAAGCTCGTGCTGGGGCGCTTGCTGAGGAGTCCAGAGATTCTGAGAAACTTGCCCGGAGTCACCCAGCCTGGCAGAGGGGAAGCTGGTGTCCAGACCCTGCCTCCTGGCTTCAGGTCAGGTTTACTCAGCCCTGAGCGTTGCAGACGTGAGCCCTGTGAACTGGCTTCCCTGAAGGTGGCAGAGGGGTCATTTGTGATGTGAAGTTCCAAGGTCACGTCGCAGATCCCATCCCAGCTTGCTCCGGGCTTTGGTGTCCCTCTTTAATGCCTAGATGCTTGGAGGCACCTCAGGAAGAGGGAGTGTGTGCCGAGAAGGCAGCTGCCCAGCTGGAGCCATGCTGCCAGGTTTCCCTCCTGTGCCCTTGACTGCCCTGCAGCCCAGCCAATAGCTGGTCTTCCTGGAGGCTGATCACTTGTTGCCAGGGCAGAACTTTCGCCCTTGAAAGAGCCTCTTTCCCAGCCTCTCTGGGCCTCCTTATGCGGGTGGGGTAGGGGAGAGGCCACCGCCAGGGCTTCTCAGTCAGGACTTCCTGGGCGTCCACCCTGTTAGGCCTTGCAAGAGCAGTGGACACTGTTGGTTGTCCCATCCCAGTTTGGGAGGGGGTGCAGCCTGGGGGCGGGGAGGAAGTATCTGCCCCAGGGGATTCTGGGTGACTTTTTTCTTTCTCAGTGTTCAGGAAGTGTGTATGTTGGCCACGGCTACAGGGGGTGGGGGAGGCAGAAAGCAGGAAGCCTCCGGGAGACCAGAGCTAGGTGCAGACAGACAGACAGACAGACAGACAGACACACACACACACACACACACACACACACACACGCGTGCTCTCTCTCCTCTTTCCTCTCTGTCTGCTCTTCCCTCCTGGACAGATCCACAGTTATACACAGAAACACACACACACACACGCACACGCGTGTAGAGAAGTGCTTCACAAACACTTAAAGACGTAAATCATAGGTGCAAAGCCATACCTGGACCCAAAAACTGCTAAGCGAACGCAGCCTCAGACCCATCCAGGGGCCAGGGACCAGGGGCCGGGCTTACAGGTACACGACATTCTTGGGCATACGCACCCGTCTGGCCAGAACCGTGGGAGTCCTCGGCCCCAAGACCCACAGGCATCTGAGGGTGAGCGAGGGGCCATCGAGGGGCTGCCGTTGCTCTTGTTGCTGTTGGCAGGTAGGAGGATGCCCTGGGAGGGCTGGAGCCCCTGTCTGTCACCTCTGGCCTGGTTTTTCTGTGCTGTTCTCCTCCCCCTTCTCTTTTTTTCTCGTTGGGCTTTATCTTTCACTTTCTTTACTTCTTCTCTTTTTCCCTTGCCTTTTCCTTTTCTCTCTCTCTCATCCCTCCCTCTCCCCTGGGCTTTCTAGGTCTCTGCCTCCCCATACACCTCTCCTGGGTCCACCAGGAGCCCACAGTGCCTGTTTTCTGGGTCTTTCTCACAGAATGCTCCTCTTTGGGGTTCTGCCGCTTGTGGGCCTGGTGCTAATCTCCTCAATTCTCTGCTCCTAGCTCCCAGCACCCCTCTGGGGATTCCCTCAGGGAGGCTTCGTTTGGCTTATCTCACTGTCAAGTTCAAGGGTGCTGTGATGCTGAACCTTCCACCTCAGACCTCCCTCCCCTGGGTGATGGGGAGATAGTGTGCTTCTTACCTCTCCCCCCCAGGACTGGTGCTGTGGTGGGTGCTTATGGAGTGTAGGGGGTGGTCTCCTGTCCCCTCAGCTACTGTGGATCTCTGATGAACTCAACAATCCTGTGCTCGGGTTACTGGGGACATAGGTCTCTACCAAGTCCTGGCCACACACCCTGTGCTCTCCAGCCCTGTCCTTTGCCCTCGGCTCATCTCTTCCATAGGGCCCAGCAGATACCTGCACCTGCTCTTTCTGCCTGGCTGGCCTGGACCCAGGAGCGGCTCAGTGAGCTCCCTGAGGACTGAACTTCCTCCCACTTCTTCCCTCAGGAACCAGCCCAGGGCCGTGCCTGGGATGTGCTTAGAGCTGCTATGGGAAAGGAGGCCTCTGCCACCTCTTGCCGACAGGGCTGGCCTGTGGGAAGCTGAGTGGAGGTCTGGTGGTGGAAGGCCAAACAGGTTGTGTGGGCTTAGAAGAGGGAGCAGTCTGATGGACTTCCTGGAGGAGGAGGCCTGTCCTGAGCACAGTGGAATTAATAATCCCAGGTCATTACATGAAAAAAAGCCCCTAGCAGAATGCTTGGCATATAGTGAATGCTTAGCAAGTGGTGGCTGTTGTCCCAGGGAGAAGTGCTGAGAGCTGGGTGAAGGCGTGGTTGTGAGGATGCGCTCCAGGTTAACTGGGCACTGCTGTATGGAGAGGCTGGGGAGCTGCTGACCTTCTCCAATGATGAGGATGCGAGTCGGGTGGTGGTCATTCAGCACACACTTGCTGAAGCCCCCTCTCTGCTGGGTACTGCTGGCGGCATGGAGAGGACTGGCCCTAGGGACTCTCAGCTTGTGCAGAAGTTGAGAGGCAGATCATGGACATCCCATTCTAGCAAGTGAGACCCTCGGAAGGGCTGTCTGTGCTGGCCAGGCCTTGGCCAAAGTGAGCAGAACAGAACCAGGAGAGTGCTGGAGGGGATGACCTTTGGGTCTCATGATGGAGGAGGAAGGGGAAAAGCCACAGAGGAAGCAGGAGGCACAGGACTGAGGCCTGGGGTCTTGAGCAGTCTAGGGCATGAGTGAGGAAGCGGGCAGCTGGGACAGTTTCCCCCTGTGGAAAGGGAACATCAGGGTGGGACACAGATGTCCCCAGATCATTGTACCTGCAGCCTTGCTGGTGAGAGTCCAGGGGCTGGGATTGGGCCAGGTCTCTCCAACGCCCGTGTGACATCTTGTGGGGAAGTGGTGACTCTGGGAAGGGGTTGGGTCTGAGTTCTTAGGCCTCTGAGGCAGTTAATTGAAGCAAACATTGACCCATATGACCATACTGAGTGATCAGAAGTGTGGAGGCTCAGGGAGCCCCAGGGAGGCCCCAGATCAGCCTGAGATGTGAGAGGAGGCTTGCGATAGCGGGGAGGTTGGACGTGTGATTTGGGCTTTTGCAGGAGGAGTAAGAGTTGGCTGGGCAGGGAAGGGTGTTCCGGGTGGAAGGAACAGGGTATGCAGAGGCCTGTAAGTATGCCTTGATAGACTGCAGCTCAGTCAGCGAGTGAGTCCAGTGTCAGCCTGAGATATGCACACTGTCCCACTGTGTGGCCTTCCTGCCCTCAAAGTGAGCTGGTTCTTTTGGCCGGAGATTGGTGTAGATAGAAAGATAGGAAGGGGCAGGGGTGAAGAAGGAGGTGGCATGAGAGGCTGCTGAGGCTATGAAGCTGGTTCCCGGCTCAGCCTGCAGGGGCCTGGGTCTCCTTCAAGGTGAAGAGGTTGTGCTGATGCCATGTGCAAGTATCCCTCCTTTACTGAATTATCAGTGAGCCTGGAGACAGATCAGTGAGGAAACTGAGGCTCTGAGAGGAAGGGATCTGCTCAAAGTCTCAAACCAATGAGTGTTTGAACTGGGTTCAAGCCCAGGTCCACCTGGCTCCAAAGCCCTCTTTTTAGTTAACTGAGTGACCACACATCTCATCTTACCTGGGACAGGCCCCGTTTGTGTCTGCTGCCCTGACATAGTTATTACTAGTGCTTCTTTTAACTCTTAGAGGTGTTTCTGGTTATTTTTTATTTTTATTTTTTTTAAGCTGGAATCTTGCTCTGTCGCCCAAGCCGGAGTGCACTGGCGCAATCTCTGCTCACTGCAACCTCCGCCTCCTAGGTATAAGCAATTCCCTGCCTCAGCCTCCTAAGTAGCTGGGATTACAGGCACCTGCCACCACACCTGGCTAATTTTTGTATGTTTAGTAGAGATGGGGGTTTCACCATCTTGGCCAGGCTCATCTTGAACTCCTGACCTCGTGATGCACCTGCCTCGGCCTCCCAAAGTGCTGGGACTACAGGCTTGAGCCACTGTGCCTGGCTGTGTTTCTGGTTTATACGATTAATTATGTGGTCACCCTCCTCTGACCCATTCTGGCTTGAGACCCTCCCATGTCCCATAACCCCCAGCATGAGGTCTGCTTGTATGTTTTTTCTGATTCTATAAAACAGATTTAGGCTGAACCAGACCCTTAGCTGCCTGGCGTGCCTAGTCTCTGGGGAATAGTGGGTGAGCAGGTGGGTTCACATGCCCCTTGGGTAGAGGAGAAAAGGCTGAAGGAGCAGGGAGCCAGGAGTGCGGGGTGAGTGGGGAGAAGCTCTGTGGGAGAATCTTGGAGGTTGTCTAGAGGAGGAGGCCCGCTGAGCTGCATTTTGATGTGGAGGTGGGCTTCTGTGGCTACGGGAGGGAGAGAGGAGAGGAGGAGGAAACCGTGAGTGAAGGCTTGGAGGTATTGCCGTTAAGGACGGGGCCCAGTGGGTGAGAAGTCAGTGAGTGACATCCCAGCTGGGCCTCAGCTGGACCTCGGGTTTGGAGCAGGGCCTTACTCTTAGTGTTGCAAGCAGTGAGAGGCTGGGACTCCAGTTATGGCAGGGACATTGCTTGGGCCCTATTCTTGGTAGGGGGTCACTGCCCCTTCCTTGGGGTTTTCCCATATGTTGTGCCTTCCTGAAAGCACTTCTCCTTTTCCTGGGCTCCGTCCTGACTCAGCAGTGCCCTGATATCCTGTGGTAAGCAGGCAAGCTGGGAGCAGCCAGGAGGCTTCCTGGAGGAGGTGGCTAGAATTGCCAGGAGGCTTCTGAGAGGAACCCCTTATATCACCTTCGTGAGACATGGCGCCTTCCCTGTGGAAGCTCTACTGGGAGAGGACCCTTTGCATCAGTTTCCCTCTCCCTTCCTGCTGTGGTCAGGGCAATGATGTGTTCCCTCTCAGATGGGTCCTGAGTTCTGGTGGCCCGTGGGAGGAGGCTGGCCTCAGAGAAGCCCTGGGACTCTGCATGGCCTCGTTTGCTCGGCTATGGTGCTGGGCTGCCAGGGCTCAATCCCCGCTGTGGCACCAAGGACAAATAACCTAGCATTTCTTTGCCTCGGTTTCCTCCTCTGTAAAGTGGAATCATGATGAGCCTTACCTTACAGAGCACCTGTAATGAGTAGATAAATGAGGAATCCATGTCAGGTGCTTAGAAAATGGCTGGGAACATACATGCGGACACACGCGCACACACAGTTAATGAATCCAGGTGTCTGTAAGTCCCTGCTGAGTGCTGGAGATACCCCAGTGAGGAAGGAGGGTGTGGAGTTTGCTTCAGGGAACCTGCTTGCTGCCCAAGATGGGCAGACCCCTCGCAGCGGATCAGGACAGTGGTGGGAAATTCACTGTGGTGCCAGAGGAGGGGCCGATACTGCCGGACCCCAAGGATGAGGATGAGCAGGTGGGCAATTTTTCTCTATGGTACCACCTTCCCCTCAGCTCTGGCCCTCAGATCTGGGAGAGCTTTGGGAGCCCAACCCCTTCAAGCTGGCTTGGCATTGGAGGGATGGCACCTGTCCCCACCTCCCTGGACTGAGGTCTGATTGGCTGTGGTCTGACAACTTAGAATTCTGCTTTCTGCTGATCCCAGGCCTGGCCTCCACGCCCCTTCCTCTTGGGCTCCGGGAGGCAGCAGTGATGGATTGATTTACTCATCAAGAAGTCTCTAAGGGAATCGCAGGTGGCCAGTTGGGCCAGCACCCCAGGTCATGCTGTTGGGCCTTCGGGCACTCCTTCGGTCACTTGGTCATTGCTTATCCCTTCCGTTGCCTTCCCTTCCTCCTGCTGCCTACCTGCCCAGCTGTTCACCCACCTGGCCCGCATACTCTTACTACTGACTGGGCTTTGGGGGGACCAAGTCAAGTGTTGCCCCTGCCCCAAAGGGACTCAGGTCAGTGCCTACCAGGGGATCTTCATAGGTCCAGCTATGAAAGTACATTTCGACTCAAGACTCCGGTGGGCCCCCCCTTGGCTTCAGATTCCTAGAGAGGCCCGTCAGGTAGGGAGCAGCTTGCCACCAGTGCAGTGACAGGCTTTCGTCTGCCGAGGGGTCCTTGAAGTGATCCGAACCACAGCCCACACAGCTGTCCAGGGGCCGTTCTCTGTGGCCCTCCAAGTGACAGCTCAGGAGTGAAGGACTGGGTTTCACAGCGGATAGTGACTCACAGGGAGCCAGCCAGCTTTAAAAGCTCTTACCTAAGGGGCCAATAGTCTTTTAACATCCCCACAGGCGTGGCTCCAAGTCCCTACATGGGATGTGCCCAGTTTGCAAAACACCGTACTGGGCGAAGCTCAAAGCTCCGTTTTCTCTACCAGGTGTAGAATCTGCTTATAGTTTCTCTCTGTCCAGACACTGTTCCTGCGCGGGCCGTGCTGCCAGAGGCAGTGGTTGCCTGGTAACGTGGCTGACATGCTATCGTTTGCAGGTTTCCAGGGGAACAGAGCTGGAAACCTAGCTGAAGGTCAGCTCTTCTCACAGAAGAGGAAAGGGTTTGCTTAACTTTTATCTACACTTGGAGAAGAGAAAAGTGCAGTAGAAGGCGACATAGAAGAAGCCAAGTGTCCTAAGAAGCTCATAAACTTTGGAGTCAGGGTTCGGATCTTGGCACAAAGGAGACACTTTGAAAAATGTCATTTAGAATAATTTGTATGAAGCTCTTAATGGAGAGCAGCATAAAGGAGGGGTCAGGGAAGACTTTCAGAGAAGGGCAGTGTGGTTTTAGAGTTAAAGGGTTGCTTCCCACCTCCCAGGGTGAGTGGGAAGAATCAGGGGAGGTGGGAAGATTGCTTGATGCCAGGAGTTCAAAACCAGCCTGGACAATATAATGAGACCCAGTCTCTACAAAAAATTTAAAAATCATCCAGGCATGATGGTGCATACCTTGAGACCCACCTACTGGGGAGGCTGAAATCAGAGGATCACTTGAGCTCAAGAGTTTGAGGCTGTGATCACGCCACTGCCCTCCAGTCTGCCACGGAGTGAGACCCAGTCTCTTAAGAAAAAAAGGTTTAAAAAATGAGTGGATGTTCCCAGGCAGAGAACAGGGAGGAGGGTGTTATTGGTGGAGGCCACTGCAGGAGTAAAAACCTGGCATCATGACCACGCCCAGGCAGGCCCTGTCACTGCCTCCCAGCCCCTCCTTGCTTTCATGGTAGCCACACACCGTCAGGAACATTAAGGAACATTAAGGCAACAGACAAGGTCAAAAATAACCCAGGGAAAAGTTGCCCATCCACCCTGATTCTCCTCCTTGGCCCCTGCAGGACACCGGCAGAGACAGCTGGTGGGGCCAGGCCTCCAGGGCTCAGGCACCTTGTTCCAGCATGTGGTCCCTGTGCATTCTGTATGCTGGCACGTGACACCTCCTGTCTTGGTTAATCCTCCTAGCACTCTGCCAGGTCGGTGATAGAGCCCCTATTTTACAGAAGAAGAAACTGAGGCTCAGAGGGGCTAGGAGCTCACCCCAGGACACACAAAAACTAAGAAACTAAGGCAGGATTAGAATTCATGTCCTTGATGCCAAAGCCCTTCAGAAGACAGTCTGTCAGGAGCAGTGTGATCTGTGCTAGACAGAGGGGGACACTGTATGCCTGTGAGAGCCCAGGAGACCCTGAACTTGGCCTTGGAGAATCAGGGGAGGGTTCCTGTCTGTGTGAGTTTGTATAGTGCCTGAGCTTGGCTGCAGTTCAGGTGAGCTGGGTGGGGCTCAGTAGGTTTCAGTCTCAGCTCTGTTGCTTAGTGATGCCCAACTTTTGTTCTGTTCCCAGCCTGCCCTCCAAGGAAGAGGAGTCATTGCTGCCATCATTGTCATCCCCTCCCCAGCCAGAGCCTGAGGAGCCCCTGTCCTCCCTCCCCCAGGCGCCTCCCCACTCCCCATCTCCACCTCCCTGTCCCCCAGAGATACCTCCAAAGCCCGTACGCCTGTTCCCGGAGTTTGGTGAGTGCTGCAGCCAGGGGATATGGGTCTGGGGAGGGCCGGGGATCTCTGGGATCAGGCCCCTGGAGGGCATGCGAGGATCACACTCCTTTCTGTGCAGCCCTGCCACCAGCCCCCTGTGTGGCCATGGGTAGGCCACAGCTCTCTGAGCGCCATTCTCTTCATCCTCACGATGGAGACAGCACCCACCTGTCCCACCTCCTGACTGTTAAGTGTGGGGCCATGGGTGGCTTTGTCCATGGTCTGATTTCCAAGGTGTTGGGTGGTTTGCTTTTTCTGGGGTTGGCCTCATTTCTTGATTTGTGTTGCCCTTTTAGCATGTTTTGGACAGTCCTTAGCCCGACCCCTAACCTCACTGCTGGCTCAGACCTCTCTGGTGGCCCATCCACTCCTTGGCCACCCCTTAGTGCAGTCTTATGAGGCCTGAGGGTATATAAATAGCACTTTCTATCCCCTGCACCTTTTCCTGAAAGCCAGGGAGAGGTAGAGGTGGGGGTCTTGGCCTGGGGGAGGCTTTGTGAAGCCCAGTGTGGTACCCCAGGAGAGGAGGCCAGGCCCCTTGCCCTGAGTCCCCCCAAACCCTTTCTTACCAGATGACTCTGACTACGATGAGGTCCCAGAGGAGGGGCCAGGGGCCCCAGCCAGAGTGATGACCAAGAAGGTGGGACTGGGCATAGGGCTGTCTGCCTGTCAGTGTGTATGTGGGGTGCCCAGCTGCCTGTCAGACTCTGGGGACCACCAGACAGAGAGTGGCAGCCATTTCCCGGGAGGCTTCTCCTTTCCCCGCTTCACTGTCTTGCCATACAGGGGTCAGGAGTTACATGCAGCCGCAGCGCCCTGGGCCAGGGTCTGGGCTCTGGTGTGGCTCCCCCAGGCCCTGGCTGCATGGGGGTGGGCACATGGCCTCTCCCACGCTCTGCTTTGGGAGTGTGTGTCCTGTCCTGGAGTGTCCGTCTCTGTTTCACTTCTTGCATTCCTCTGTCTGTCTGTCTTGCCTTTCTAGCCCTCAGTCTTTTTCTCTGTTCCTTCATCTTTCTGTTTTTGTCTGTGTCCTAGGTCCGTGTCTGCCACTGGCTCTACTGTCCCTGTGATCTGGGTCCCTGTGTGATCTCGGCTGGCAGGGGGAGGGGAATGTGAGGAAACAGAACTAAAAGTGCTGAGCTGTGTGGGTTTGGGCTGTGTGGACAGAAGGGGCGTGGCAGCCCCTGGGTGGGTGTGATCTGGGGCTTGAAGGGAAGGATGACGCTGAGTGGGTCTTGAGGGCAGGAGGAGCCCCCACCGAGCCGAATCCCACGGGCCGTGCGCGTGGCCAGTCTGCTGAGCGAAGGGGAGGAACTGTCTGGGGACGACCAAGGAGATGAGGATGAGGATGACCACGACTATGAGGGCGTTCCCAAGTGAGTGTCTGGCCACTTTCCTTCCCACGGCCCAGCCCATCCCCAGCCCGCCCCCTCCTCGCCTCCTCAGCCCGGCCCCCATCCCCTTCTCCCTCGCTAGTGGCGGATGGCACACCAGCAGCCTGAGCTTGCCCTTGCCCAGACCGGTCGCTGCGCCACACCCCATGGACGGGCCGCCTGGGGGCGCCACCCCCATCACACCAGTCATCAAGGCCGGCTGGCTGGATAAGAACCCACCTCAGGGGTGAGTGAGACCTCTTGGTTCCTGCTGTGCTCTGCATAGAGGCAAGCAGTGTCCAGGACTCCAGGACACTGGTATCACAGATCTGAAAACCAGAAGGGCCTGAGATGATTTGCACAGGTCTCCCTCCAGGCAGACTGTGACCACCGATGAGTCCCTCCAGACCCATTTTATTGCCCTGAAAATGGGGAAATAGCTGAGCATGACGGCTCATGCCTATAATCTCAGCTCTTTGGGATGCTAAGGTAGGAGGTTTGCTTGAAGCCAGGAGTTTGAGACCTCTCTGGGAAACATGGCGAGACCTTGTCTCTACAAATAAATTTAAAAATTAGCTGGGTACAGTGGCTCATGCCTGTAGTTCTAGCTACTTGGGAGACTGAGGTGGGAGAAGCACTTGAGCCCAGGTATCTGAGGCTGCAGTGAGCTAGGCCTGTACTACTGCATTCCAGCCTGTGTGGCAGAGTGAGATTCTGTCTCAAAAAAAAAAAAAAAAAAGGGGGTGTGCTACTATGAGACTGACTTCAATCACTCTTGCTGTAGATAAAGTCCATCTTCTTGCCAGTGGCCATTTGGGATCCTTCCTCCTAGAACCTGGCTGATCCTCACACTGAGTGTGGCTTCCGAGGGCTGGGGTGGTCCTGGATCCTGTCCTCCCTTCCCCATCATTTGTCTGTTGTCCCTCTGCCTCTCCAGATCTTACATCTATCAGAAACGATGGGTGAGACTGGATGCTGATCACCTGCGATACTTTGACAGTAACAAGGTGAGGCCTGCATCAGTCCTTGACACGACCCCTACTCCAGCCTAGGCTGGACCCCAGCACTGGAGCGAGGGGGCGTCCCTTCCCAGAGCAGTCCTCATCAGAGCTTTCGTCTGACCCCTTGACCCGTGTCCTCCTGGCCAGGGCTGCCGAGGAATGTAGTCAGGGTCAGCACAGGGTCTTGTCTCTGATCAGCTGCAGGAGATAGGGCTGCAGCCTTCATTTCAGCTAAGGCTGGGGGAGCCAGCAAGGAGGTACTGGACCCCAAAATACAGCTCCTCTCTCTCCCTCAGGACGCTTACTCCAAGCGCTTTATCTCTATGGCGTGTGTCTCCCGTGTGGCTGCCATCGGGGACCAGAAGTTTGAAGTGATCACAAACAACCGGACCTTTGCCTTCCGGGCAGAGAGTGATGGTGGGGAGTGTGAGATGTTTTGTGTGCGGAAATGGGGAGAGAAGACTGGAAGTTTGGCTAGAGGAGTGGGAGGAGAAGCACGGCTCATCTGCCCTCTCACATCACATTCGGGGAGGCGTGGTCCCTTTGTGAGATGGGCGGAGGAAGGGGGCACCCCCTGTGACCAGCTCAGTGCTTGGCACGGTCACTGGGTCCTCGGAACCTCGTGATCCCATTTACAGTGGGAGCAGGCTTGAAGGGGTGAAGTCACTTGCCCAGCATCAGCGGCATAGCTGGGATTGGAGCCTGAGCTCATTCAAGTCAGAGAAGTCAAGCAAAGTGATGGGGGGGCAATCTGGGTGGGCTTTCTGGCAGAAGTGTTGCCTGAGGAGCCTAGGGCCAGGAGACCCTGAGGGTCTCCCTGCCAGGCCCACCTTGAGCTTGCTCCTCCACCGTTCTCCTGCAGTGGAGCGGAAGGAGTGGATGCAGGCCCTGCAGCAGGCCATGGCTGAGCAGCGTGCTCGGGCACGGCTGTCTAGCGCTTATCTGCTTGGAGTTCCAGGCTCAGAGCAGCCTGACCGCGCTGGTAGCCTGGAGCTGCGTGGCTTCAAGAATAAGCTGTACGTGGCCGTGGTCGGGGACAAAGTACAGCTCTACAAGAATCGAGAGGTGCTAAGGGGCCTTGGAACCTCTCCCCTGCCCACGCCCCCCTATCCTGCCCTTTCTCCCTGCCCCAGGCCCAGCTGGGGCCTGAGCCCTGCCTTTTCTGTTCCCTCTTTTCCTACACTGAGCCCAGCCCTTTGCTTGGATGCATCCTCGCTCCCCACAGTACTGACCGCTTCCCCCCGGCTCTGAGCAGTGCCCTCCAATCCCTGACCTGACTCCTGTGCCCGTGCACCTCTGCTCATTGCTGTGTGGGCCCTGAACCCATAGTCTTTTACTCTGCCCAGCTTCCATGTCCTCTCCTGGGCACCCTCCAGTCCCTGAGTTGCACCACCTTCCCTTCCTCTCCCCTCCCGAGGAATGCCCTGCCCCCAAAGCCCTGCCTACATCCCTTCCCGCCCACCCTCCAGGAGTACCAGCTGGGCATTGGCATCACCTTCATCGACATGAGCGTGGGCAACGTGAAGGAAGTGGACCGGCGCAGCTTCGACCTCACCACGCCCTACCGCATCTTCAGGTGACCCTCCCTCCCCTTGGCTCACCAGCGCCCTCACTCCTTCCTGATGTTTTCCTTTCGTGCAATGTGGGAAGCGGTCCCTTCTTGTGGGATGGGTTCCCTCTCCCTGCCCCGCCCTGCACAGCCCCTCTCCTGTTGCTCACTAACCCGCTCTGATCTCCCTCCCTTCTAAGAGGTCTCTCTCTCCCTGTGCCACTTGGTCACTGCTGTCCTTCCCTGCCTGCCGCGCTGCTCAGGGGTTGCCTGTGCTGGCCTCCTGCACCCACTGCCCCTGCGCCTGCGCCACCCCTGGAGAGTGCTCTTGTCTCTCATCAGGGGCTCCTCGGTCTCTGGGCCCCCAAGGTTCTGCCATCTCGGTTTCCTCTGACCTCAGCTGTCCTTCGGTGTCTTTCTCTGTCCTCTGCCCTCTCCCCAGGCAGCCTTGCCCACTCCTAGTCCTTCAGCTGCTACTCTGAGGCACTGAACTGTGCCTGGCTTATAATCCTGGGTCCACCAGTGACTAGCTGTGTGACCTGGGACATCACCTGTCCTGTGCGTGCCTCAGTTTCCTGAGGAAGTCTTTGTAACACTGAGTAGTAACTGCCCAATAAGTACCAGCATCACCCCGCTCCCTCCCAGCTCTCTGCTCTTAGCCCAGGTTTCTGTCTTCAGCGGGATCTTTCTGCTGAGCTCTGGCCTGCATGTCTGACAGCTATGGCCATCTCCTCCTTTCAGCCACCCGTTCCTCCTAGGGGCCTGTCTCTCCAACCAAGAGGGAAGGGCCTGTGCCTTTCCTTTCTACCCCAATGTGGCCCCATCCCTCTGCTGTCACCCTTCTGGCCTGGGCCTAGTGGGCCCTTGGCCCCACTGCCTACCTCCTTACCCTTGGGCTGCCCATGCCCGTCCATCCTCTTTATTCCAACTACTTTGACTGCCATGGGGGCCTTATTTTTCCTTCATCTTGAGACAAAGTCTCACTCTGTCACCCAGGCTGGAGTGCAGTGGCATGATCTCAGCTCACTGCAACCTCCACCTTCTGGGTTCAAGCAATTCTCCTGCCTCAGCCTCCAAAGTAGCTGGAATTACAGGTGCGTGCCACCACGCCCTGCTAGTTTTTGTATGTTTTTAGTAGAGATGGGGTTTTACCATATTGGCCACGTATGATTTGACCTGACCTCATGATTTGCCTGACCTCATAATTTGCCTATGCCAGCCTCCCGAAGTGCTGGGATTACGGGCGTGAGCCACCACACCCAGCCGAGAGCTAAGTTTTTATTGGCTCATTTCTTGCATTTGAAGTTCTCTTTGATGACATCCTTGGCCTGAGATTCTTTGCCATAGTCCTTAACTACCACACAGCTGCAGCCCTGCCTGATGGGCGTTCTCTGATTGTCAAAGAGGCCTGCCCATTTCTGGGTTTCTTGTTGCCCCAACGCTAAAGAGGTGGACTTGGTGTTCTGCACAAAGGGCCTCCCCCAGCTGGCATGAGTGGCTCATTGCACTCGGGCGCAAGCACAGGAAGGCGAGCTTGGCGCTTGGCTCTGCCTTTGGCAGCTTTGCGAATTCCACATGCGAGGCTGTGGAGGAGGAGGTCTCCAGCACCTCCGTAAAGTGGCGTTCACGGCCATCACACCTCCAGCTGCGATGCCTTCCTCGGTTGTGGCAATGGGTTGTGGGTCAAGTAGACTGAGGGTCACATGTGTGACTTGGTGGTGGCAGAGAAAGAGCCAGAGGGGTCTTTTTAAAAAAACAAAAAAACAAAAACAACTTTTTAGGGACAGTTGTCCATTTGTTGTTCAGCCAGGGTCTCCCACCCTGAAGAGCAGGGCATGCTGTGGCGGCCACAGGTGTCTGGGTATGTTGGGCCAGTGGAGTTCTTTGTGGAGTGGGGTCATGGAGCATGTCACAGTTGGGTTGGGATAGGAATGAGGATGGGAATGGTGGAAGGGTCTTTTAAAGACATCTCTGTACCCTCCCCTCCTTCCCACTGAAACCCTCTGTGGGCTCTCCATTGTCCTCAGCATGCACTACCTCTGCCTGGCGCAGGCCTGTCCCTGTCCACCTCCCAGCCTCTTCTCTGCCAGTCTGCCCTCTTGTCTGCAGGTCCTGGAATGCCCCATGTGCCATCCTGCCCCTTTGCACATGCTGTTGCCTCTGTCTAGAATGCCCTTTCATCTCTGCACCTGGCTCAGGCCTTCTGATCTGTCCAGTCTTAGCTCAGGCATCATTTTCTTCCCAGCAGCCTTCATTCTCCGGGCTGGGCAGAGCCCCCCACTGGTCTCCTCTGCCCCCATACGCTCTCAGGTTCCTGATGTCCTTGACTTTGTCCACGCCTACCTTCCCTACCAGACCTGGGATGCCTCCCTCTTCTGCCTAAGTGCTCCCAACACCTTGTCCCCCACTTCATTCTGTACCTCCTCGTGCTGCCCCCAAATCCTTCTGAGTCTAACCCCACCAACCTCCCCACTCCTTTGTCCCCAGCTTCTCTGCTGACTCGGAGCTAGAGAAGGAGCAGTGGCTGGAGGCCATGCAGGGAGCCATCGCCGAGGCCCTGTCTACCTCGGAGGTGGCTGAGCGCATCTGGGCTGCAGCCCCCAACAGATTCTGTGCTGACTGTGGGGCTGCCCAGCCTGACTGGGCCTCCATCAACCTCTGTGTTGTCATCTGCAAGCGCTGTGCAGGTATGTGCTCGGGGGTCAGGGCACCAGGCAGAGGCATGGCGGGGCTGGCCAGTTGGGATGGCAGGTGTCCTATCTGGCAGGAGGGCCTAGAGCAGAGACAGCAGTCAGAGAGCTGCTGTTGATGAGGCTTCTTCTGCACACGAGGCCTTTCCCCTGTGATTAGTGCTTGAGTCCTTACATTGCCAGGCTGGGTTCAACTTCTCCCATCATGGGTCGGGGTATGGAGGCACAGGGAGGGGAAATGGCTTGTTCAGAGTCACCTGGCAAGTAAGTGAGCCCAGATTTGAGCCCAGGCTTGTTGGGGTCCAGTGTTCCTCTCACGTCAGAGGAATAAGGTTGGCCTAGCAAGAGGAGCTGGCAGGGGCCGGGCCAGGCAGGGCTTTGCATGCAGAGGGAGGAGCTGGTATTTTGTCTCGGATGTGGTCAGATTTGTTGGTCAGAACCTGACTGGTGGGTGGAAGCTGAGTTAGAAGGGGCGAGACTGGAGACCAGTGAGGAGGCTGCCATAGGATCCAGGAGAGGGAGGAGGAGGAAGCCTGGCCTGGAGAAGCTGTGAGCATTTGAGGGCTGTTCAGGATCTATGGTGGAAAACTCACAATGACTGACTGGATGAGGAAGATGAAATGCAAGAGGGTCGAGCCCAAGGTTCATTCATCTGCTCAATCAAGGGTCCACTGTGTGCCAGACACTGCCAGATGCTGGGGATTCGGTCCTCCTGGGAGCTGACATAGTCTATGTGGCACCTGTAGGCGGCTGGATGTGGGGATCCAGGTGGAGGAGCAGGTCTGGGGAAGTGTGCTGGGGAGGTCCTCTCTGAGGAGGTGACATGCCAGCTGAGATCTAATGGCAGGAAGGAGTGGCCATGGGGACATGGGTGATGAGAGTCTGGGTAGAAAGATGATGGAGGGTAAGGAGGTATGGAGTTGTGATCTAATTCTGGGAGCCTTGGAGGGTGAAAGCAGGGATTGGGAGTCAGGGATTTGTAATTTAAAGAGATCACCTCTGGCAGGGCTGTGCTAGTATGGCCTGTAAGAGGCCAAGCATGGTTCCAGGGAGCCAGGTGCAGGAGGCTGGTACAGGAGCCCAGGTGAGGATTACAGGGCTCAGTCCGGCCCTGCGGGGAGCAAGAGTGCCCAGCTGAATTCCAGAGCTGCCAGCAGGCCCACCCACTAGGGCCTGCCTGTGGCCTCTCATCCCTGTCTGTCCCAGTGGACAGTGGGGCTGGGTGAGTGCTCCTGTGAAGGGGAGGGCCGAGGTGATTCCAGGTCTGGCCGTGTGTCTACAGGAGAGCACCGTGGCCTGGGTGCTGGCATCTCCAAGGTGCGGAGTCTGAAGATGGACAGGAAGGTGTGGACAGAAACACTTATCCAGGTGGGGACGCCCCTGCTTGCCACCCATACTTGGGGTCTGCCCCATTCAACAGCTGCCGGGTTTCCCAGCCCCTTCTCTGTCTCACTGACCACGGCACCTTGGAGCTGGAAGAGACCCTTTGTGATAATCTAGTGGGCGGGGATTTGGGAAAAGCAATTTTTGGCAAAGTCAGCAAACTAGCCAGTGAACTAAGAATGTTTTTATATTTTTAAAGTGTTGTATTTAAAAAAAAAAAGAAAGAAAATGAAGCAGAGACTGCATGTGTTTAAAAAGCCTAAAATATTTACTATTTGGCCCTTGAGAAAAAGAATTTGCTGACCCCTGATTTAATTTAACTTTCATCCATTGAAAAGTCCTGGGCAGGGCTGTAATCTGCCTGAGATTACCCAGTAAATGCATGTTGACCACCACCCCTGCCTCTTTCCATCCCACTTCCTGGCTGACCCAGGGACATCTCCCTTACCTTGCACACCCCCTCAGAGGTTCTCAGCCTTTATTTCATCTGAACTCACGTGCACCAGTGGGTATATGTGTGTGTGCTGTGCGTGCACACATGTGAACATTTATGCCCCTGTACTGGAAACTCCCAAGTACCCATATGTGGTAGATACAGGGGAGAACCTGCAATGGGAGACTAGACCCAGGCTGCAGACTCCAGGGCACTTGGGGTGGCACACCCTTTTCCCACCTCCCCATGGTGTGTTTGGCACATAAGTACTAAGGACTTTGTATATGTTAATTAGCTGACTTTCAAAACAAGCCAGGAGTTAGGATTAGGTTAAGCAGTTTACAGACTTCGAAGCCCAGGGGAGAGAAGGTAACTTGCTGGAAAACACAGTAGTGGCAGGGACTGTTCTGCTTTGTTCTGTGCTGTGACCCCAGCACCCCACACAGGATCTGACAAAGAGTCATGGTGGGGGGCCCGATGGCTGTGGAATGAGGAGCCAGATGAAGGAAGGAACTGATTCCCTGAATGCTGGATCCCCGCACTCACCCAGGATCCGCCCCCATCCTTCTTGCCCAGAGAGGAATGTCAGGGACAGGAGAGGTTTCGGAAATCCCTGCCCACTCCATTGGCTGACAGGTTAGGCACCCCCAGTTATCATAGCCTCAGAAATGCAGAGCCCCAGATGTGGAACTGGATGGGGCAGCAGCAAGGCCCCTGGGACCAGGTGCAGGACCTGAGGTGTCCACCTGTCAGGCTGCCGACCTCCTGGGACCTAGGCTCAGAGCCCAGTGCTGGTGGCGGGAGCATCCTCAGCCAATAGCAGGCCAGGCCATCCTCACCTCCCCTGTTGGTAAAGTGGGCAGATGGCCTGGCTCACCCAGCCCCATCCCTAACAACCTCAGAAACCAAATTTCTGCCTGGCACAGCCCCTGGCTGTCAGCTGCCCCACTGACCTCTTGCCCACCCCCACAGCTCTTCTTACAGCTGGGCAATGGTGCTGGAAACCGCTTCTGGGCAGCCAACGTGCCCCCCAGTGAGGCCCTACAGCCCAGCAGCAGCCCCAGCACCCGGCGGCGCCACCTGGAGGCCAAGTACCGTGAGGGCAAGTACCGCCGCTACCACCCACTCTTTGGCAACCAGGAGGAGCTGGACAAGGTCAGGGTACTGCAGCTCTGGGGCCCCTTGGGACCACCTACTGTCTTTCTGCTGCCCTGTTCCTCTTGCTGTCTTAACCCATCTCATCTACCAGCTCAGGGAGCTGCTTTGGCATATGGGGAAACAGAGGTTTGGAGGGCAGGGGGCCCCTGGCTAAGCCATATGAAAAGTTCTGGCCATGCAAGGAGGAGCTAGGCCTGACCCTTGGGCCAAGGCTACGTCCCCAGCATCTGTCTGTCTCCTTCCCGATTCCTCAGTCTCCCGCACCCCGTCCTGTTGCTTCTGAATCCTGCCAAAAGGAGTGAACTTGATGGGGATGCTATTTCCTGTCAGGCTCATGAAAAACAGCTGGGCTCCTCTGACCCACCCCCATCCACACCCCACTCAAGATGAGGCTCCGTATGGGCCCCAGGCCCCGACAGGCTGGGAGCCAAGCCTTAGGCCCTGATCTGGCTGGGCCTGAGTGGGAGGCAGCCAGCTCCAAAGCAGGGGTATGCCATTTGTGACCTCTGGTTGGCCTTCAGCCCCTCCCCCAAGCTGCCCTTCCCAGGCAGACTCAGTCCAGCTAGAAGCCTGGTGGGAGCCAGGCCTCCACCTCCCAGGGACCCAGGCGTCCTGCTCCCAGCCCAACCCAGTCTAGCCTGCAAGCCAGGAGGGCGGCAACTTCCATTGGTTGGGAGGGCTGGGCAGGCGGTGAGGAATTCAAATGTGGGAGGAATTAGCTACAAAGCACCCCCCTGCTCCTCCACAAGGCAGAGGGAGCTTGAGATCCTCTAGAGGCTCCGTGGCTGACTGGGCAGCTGTGTCCAGGCTGCTAGCAGGGGTGAGGCCCTGGGCAGCTGGGACCCCCTGGCCTCTGCTAGGCAGCTCCTGCTCGCCCCTCCTCCCCTTGGCCTCTCTCTTCCCTCTCTCCTTCTCTCTTTTTTCCTTCCTGTTCTCTTTTTCAGTCTGAGGATGGACTGCGCCAGGCCTGGGTGACTCCTTTGCTTTCTTTCCTCTCCTCCCTGACACCCAATTTCCCTGTGGGCACCCCACTCCTTGGGCTGACCCTCCCCTGCCTCTTCCTAGGCCTTGTGTGCTGCAGTCACCACCACAGACCTGGCTGAGACCCAGGCACTCCTGGGCTGTGGGGCTGGGATCAGCTGCTTCTCAGGGGACCCTGAGGCCCCCACGCCCCTGGCTCTTGCAGAACAGGCGGGGCAGACGCTGCAGATGGAATTCCTTCGGAACAACCGGACCACAGGTGAGTGTGGCAGAGGATGGGGTCCACCAGGCTGTGGGTGTCCGGTGGGGTTTGATTTGCATGCAGCTTTCAGGGTGTGATTGCAGCTCCTCAAGGGCCCATGGTACAATCGTGTGTGAGCTGGGATGTGCTTCGGTTTGCATGTTAGTGTGTATTTGTGCTTCGTATGCACGTTCCTCCGTGTCTCTGTTTCTGTGACTGTTGATGACTTTCCTGACTTGCAGTGTGGGCATCTCAGGATGGCTGGTGGCTGTGCTGGTGCTTGTGTACCTCTGAGCTGCGCTGGATCTGTGTTTCTGGGGATGTTGAGGCCTTTGGAGAGCATGTGCATGTGCAGAGTGTGTCTGTGTTGCTGCCTGTGGAGTGTTGCGTTAAATTTCTCCATGTGTGGGTCACCTACCGTGACAGCCCTGTCTGCTGCTCTGCCTGGGTGGAGCTCAATCCTAGATCTGGTTTGGGACCACTGGCTCCCTCTTGGGGTGAGTGAGGAGGGAGCAGTGGGCTGAACAGTGCAGTTTGTGGCCCAGGCCTGGCCTCCGGGGCCGTATCCCAGGACTAAGGGTGGAGCTCAGCGGCTGGGGCTCTGGGCTTAGGGCCATGGGTGGGCGGGGCACACTGGGCTGAAGAGGTGTCCAGGGAGACACAGGAGACCACCCAGCTGGCTTGAGCTTGGGGGCAGAACCTCCCTGGCTGACTTGGGGAGCAGGCCTATAGTCAGGCCACCGCCTTGAGCTTCCTGCCGTCTGGGACAAACCTCTTTCCAGGGATTATTACTAAGTTTGCCCAATGCCCCCCTGATGCCAGTGTGCCTGGCCTATGCCTCTAACCTGGAGAGTGGGGTGGGCTGGAAGTCAGGGAGGCTTCCTGGAAGTGGGGGAAGGCGCTGGAGCTGGGCCTTGGGAACAGAGTGAATTTCCACAAGTAGGGAGAGGTAGAGAAACAGCCTGGGCAAGACTCTGGAGATAGCAGGGGGAGCTTGAGGCTGCCAGTTAGGGAGCTGGGGTTGGTGATTTGAAAGTGAGCCTGGATGCCCAGCCCAGGTGGGAGTGAGGTGGGGACAGCCCCTTGGTTGTCCAGCATGACCTGCCATCCTTTCTCTGCCTCCAAAGAGGTGCCTCGGCTGGACTTGATGAAGCCCCTGGAAAAGCACTACTCAGTTGTCCTGCCGACCGTGAGCCACAGTGGCTTCCTCTACAAGACGGCCTCTGCCGGCAAGCTGCTGCAGGACCGCCGGGCCCGGGAAGGTGGGTGCCGCCCCAGCAAACCCAGACCCTGCGCTGGCCCATGGCATCTGTGCGTGGAAACTGTAGGGCCAGGGAAGCCAGCAATGTCCTGACTGGTGGACCTGTGAAGCAGCCAAGTGGACTCTGGCAGAGTCACCTGAGAGGGCTTCCTGCATATAGTCTGTGGTAGACAGTAGGTGCTTCATAAAGGATTCTGGTGGGAGTAGGGGTGGGGCATGGCACTGCAGAGCAGGTCACTGCCAGAGTTTCTTTGGACTAAAAGAATCTTTATTGAACCCCTACTGGGTATGGGCTCTGCTGAGCATCTGGTAGTTAGAGCCTGCGGCTGTAGGGAGTTGAGGACTGAACGGAAAGCCCTATCCCTCTCTGATCTCAGCCTGCCGTTCACTCCCCAACTCAGAAGAAAATCCATCACTTCCGTGACCTCTCTGAACCACCCCCCGAATCACTCTGCCCCAGCTCTGCTGGTCTCCTCACTGTTGCTCAGACATGCCATGTCACCCACAGAATCTTTGCTCTTCCCTATGGCTGAAATGCTTTCCTCCAGATATCTGCACAGCCAGTCCGTCACTTCCGTCAGGCCTCTGTTTCTGCATCACTACTGCAGAGATATTATCCCCAACTACTTTATGCAAAATAGCACCCCCATCTCTCCCTTTACCCTACATTTTCTTCACACCACTTACCTGGTATTCATTTGCCCATGAATGTATATATCTATAGATTCTCTTCTTTTTGACCACCACTGCCTGTAGCCCCCAGTGCCTAGAACAGTGGCTAGCACACAGCGGGCATTCTGCAGAATGAAGGGTGACTCAGGCAGAGCTGGTGCTCCTGGAGGGAGCCCATTTGTGGGGACAGGCCTGGGGACACATTGCCTCAAAGGGCAAATGTCAGGCCCTCGTAGATGGGATGAGAGGCACAGGCTGCCGTGGGAGCATTGTGAGATAGGTCATTGCTGACAACATCCCTCAGCACCTCCTGCATGCTCTCCTCTGGGGATGAAGCTCTCCAACTCCCAAAGAGGTTCTTTGGAACTCCATGCTGTTCACAACCTCATTGCTCCAGGTCTGTCCTCTGTGCCTGATAATGTCATTTATGTAACTGCCTGAGTCATCCTTTTTACCCTGGATGCCAGGAAGCTCTGAGCCACCGTAAAGCTCAGTGCTGTGAACTGTACAAGCCTGTATGGCCATGACGTTCTATTCTTTCCATTCCCTTTCCTGGTCCAGATTCCCATTTCTGCTTCTTTTATGGGACCTTGTCGGTCTCTCAGAGCCATTGTAGGAGGAGGCAGAGTAGAGAGTGATGGGTGCTTCTGGAAAAGGATGTTGGGGCATAGAAGGCTTCTGTGACATTTAGGTGGTGGGTGGAGGGGACAGGGTTTGCAAAAGCTGGGAGTGCTGGGTGGGGATGTGTGTGTTCAGCAGTGACAGAGAGGCAGCTGGAGAGATTGACAGGGGTACACCTGGCAGGGCCTTGACTGGCAGGCTGAGGGGCATGGAGTCTGTCCTGAGGACCATGGAATGGTTTTGGTTAGAGGAAGGATGGAGTCTGATTTTAGCTAGATCACTCTGGGATTTTGGAAGTGGCTGCTGCAGAGACCTCGGGGAGAGGATGACTTGTGGGCTGGCTGGCATGGTGGGGATGCAGAGAGGTGGATGGGTTTGGGGAAACTTGAGAGAATGGAGAGCACATGCATCAGATGGGAGCGGGAGCCCTGGGAGGATACAAAGGTGCTTTTCAGGTGGTGGTGGGGCTCCCTGATGGCTCCCCTGCCCAAATTCTCCCCAGAGTTCAGCCGGCGCTGGTGTGTCCTTAGTGACGGAGTCCTGAGCTACTATGAGAATGAGCGGGCAGTGACCCCCAATGGAGAGATTCGGGCCAGCGAGATTGTGTGCCTGGCAGTGCCCCCTCCCGACACCCACGGGTGAGCACTCCTGGGCAAATCACAGACTGTGGTTGCTACAGGGTACAATCCCCCACTAGGGAGACAGGGAAATAGGCTTAGAGAAGGGGAGAACCTCCCCAGGGTCACACAGCAAACTGAGTCTGCACAAGGCCAACCCCAGTCTCTTGAGGCTCCAGCCCAAGACTTTTCCACCACCCCTTATGGGGCCAGGGTAAGGACAAGCACCGTGGCAGTGTGGAGGGGGCAGAGGATGGCGGTTGATAGTGGGGGCTGAGGGTGGGCTGGTGCTGGATGGGGTGGGCCTGAGTTCTGGCCTGTGTATTTGCAGCTTTGAGCACACCTTTGAGGTGTACACAGAGGGAGAACGGCTGTACCTGTTTGGTCTGGAGAGTGCGGAGCAGGCTCATGAGTGGGTCAAGTGCATTGCTAAGGTGGGTCTGGGGTAGCAGGGTGGGTGTAAAGGTGGGTGACGGGAAGGTGGGGCCTCCTGGCCAATCCCATGTATCCCAGATCCCCTGTTCAGAGAGCAGAAGCTAGATGGAGGACAGCAGACATGGGGCAGGCCTGTCCCACCAAGGGCCTAGTGTAATCTGCAGCCTGGGTTGGTCGGACCTGTCTTAGGTCTGCAGAAGAAGGGCTGTGGGCCTTGAACTTCATAGGTGCTCAGTAAGTGTTTAACAGTGAGTGACAGAGCCATCTTAGGATGGACAGTGCCACTTCCAGGGCAGTGTGCTCCTTGTTCCTGGAGGTGAGCAAGCAGAGGCTGGAGGGAAGAGGCAGGGAGGCCACAGGGGAGAGCTCTGCTGCCGTAACTATAGTCAGGTGCCTGTGGGGTCCCCTGTGCTGTGACAGCCTCTGACTTTTTATCATTCACTTGTCCATTGATCAGTTGTCTTGTGAGCCTCCTGAGAGTCAGCCCTCGGAGACCTGGGGACCCAGATGAACCAGGCTTAGTCCTAGCTCTTCAGTAGCTCCCACATGGGTCAGGGAGACAGCGCCCATACAGGTGGGGTTCAGGTGGCAGCAACAGTGTAACCAGTGCCACAACAGAGGGCAAGAATGCTTTGGTGCTGTGGGGGCCCAGAGAAGAGTTCTCCTGAAGGTGTCTGGGAAGCCTTTCCAGAGGAGGGCACATCTGAATGGGTATGAAGTGGGGCATGGTACCCAAGTTCTATCACTGGGCTGGGTTCTGCCCTGGGGAAGAGAAGAGAAGGCAGCTGGGTGGGAAGAGAGCACCTGCTTGCAAGCCACGGAGCTGGGGCATCGGGGCGGCAGTGTCATTGGCTTATGCTATCCCTCCCTCCCCCGCCCGATGCCTTCCTGCCAGGCATTTGTGCCTCCCTTGGCCGAGGATCTGCTGGCCCGTGATTTTGAGCGGCTTGGACGCCTACCCTACAAAGCTGGCCTGAGCCTACAGCGGGCCCAGGAGGGCTGGTTCTCTCTCAGTGGCTCAGAGCTCCGAGCCGTCTTCCCTGACGGGCCCTGTGAAGAGCCGCTGCAACTACGGAAACTGCAGGAGCTTTGTGCGTGGACCAGACCTGGGCCCCCTGCCTCCAAGGCACCCTTTCCTGGGCTCCCAGGCCCCCAGCCCTTGCCTGGAAGTCTGAGCTCTGCCTGGCCTTGGCCAGAGCCGCCAGCCTGCCCTTTCATTTCCTCTACCCTTGGGGTACATACATCTCAGCTACCCTATACAGTATATTGGCGGGTGGGTCCCAGGAGTGTGTGTGTGCCCAGAGAGAGGGAGGGAGCAGGTTGGGGAACAGGAACAAGATGGTGGGCCTCACCTTGACTGACCCCCTCCACAGCCATCCAGGGGGACAGTGAGAACCAGGTGCTGGTGCTGGTGGAGCGAAGGAGGTGAGCCACGGTCTACCTGAGGGGCTCCGAGAAGCCTGGAGCAGTCTGATGGGCCTGGGGACAGGGTGGGACAGGTATAGGCCCCTCAGTGACTGATTGTTCCTGGCCCAGGACACTTTACATACAGGGCGAGCGGCGGCTAGACTTCATGGGTTGGCTGGGGGCCATCCAGAAAGCAGCCGCCAGCTTGGGGGACACGCTGTCGGAGCAGCAGCTTGGGGACTCGGATATCCCGGTCATCGTATATCGCTGTGTGGACTACATCACTCAGTGCGGTGAGCCCCGCCCCTGGGGTGCAGGCCCCGCCCCTCCCAGAGAGCCGCCTTTCGCACGAAAGCCGCGTGGTCCCTCCCCATGACGCAATGCCTCAGGCCCCAAACGCTTCGCTCCTCCCTAGGCCTGACCTCCGAGGGCATCTACCGTAAGTGTGGGCAGACGTCGAAGACGCAGCGGCTGCTGGAGAGCCTGCGGCAGGACGCACGCTCTGTGCACCTCAAGGAGGGCGAGCAGCACGTGGATGATGTCTCCTCGGCGCTCAAGCGCTTCCTGCGCGACCTGCCCGATGGGCTCTTCACTCGCGCCCAGCGTCTAACCTGGCTGGAAGCCTCAGGTGGGCCCTGCAGCCCCTTCCCAGCTTCCTCCACCCATCCCTCCGGACTCCTGCGCCCTTCCCTTCTAGCACTTGCACTAGGCGCACCCTAACCGACAGACTCCAGTTCCCTGCCTCTGCTCCTCATTCGCATCGCCATTCCATACAGAGCCAGGGACCTTGGAAGACAGAGTTCCTTACCCTGGTTGACAGCCTGGACTGCATTGACTTGGAGGGCACAGGGGATGCTGCCATCCAGCATGAGAGGCAGAGAAGCCCAGGCAGGGTTGGGGGAAGATGGTTATAGGGGGTTTCTGACCTAGATTATCTTCCCCACCCAGAGATTGAGGACGAGGAAGAGAAGGTCTCCAGGTACCGAGAGCTCCTGGTGCGGCTGCCCCCTGTCAACCGGGCCACGGTGAAGGCCCTTATCAGCCACCTGTACTGGTGAGGGGGGATACCATTGTGAGACTCCGGAGGGATGGGGTGAAGGTTCTTCTATCCCCACCCTGGCTGACTGCCCTCCCCAGGAAGCCAGCTGGGCTTTTGCACCAAGTACTGACTGTGATCTGCCCTAACAATGGACATTTGTAGAGCAGGGGTCTCCAACCCCCAGGCCACAGACCAGTACAGGTTCGTGGCCTGTTAGGAACCAGGCTGCACAGCAGGAGGTGAGTGGTGGGTGAGCAAGCATTATGGCCTGCGCTCTGCCTCCTGTCATGTCAGCCGCAGCCTTAGATTCTTAAAGGATAGTAACTCTATCGTGAACTGCACATGCGAGGGATCTAGGTGGCGTGCTCCTTGTAAGAAGTGAATGCCTCTGAAACCATCCCCTGGCCCTCCGCCCCATCCTTGGAAAAATTGTCTTCCACGAAACCAGTCCCTGGTGCCAGAAATGTTGGGGACCACTGTTGTAGAGGATTTTCCTGCTTGGGGCCAGGGTACCTTGGCCGGATCTCCCAGCTTCCTAGTCCTGCTCCTTGCCAGGACACAAGACATGGCCAGAAAAACTGTTCCTACCCTGTTAGATAGTGGTCCCCTCTGAGCAGACCAGTCTTGGACCTGTCAGAAATGAACAGGGTGAGATGGGAAGCTCAGCCTGACTCCTACTCAAGGCTTTCCTCCTCCCCTCCCCTCTCTAGTGTCCAGTGCTTCTCAGACACCAACCAGATGAACGTGCACAACCTGGCAATTGTGTTTGGGCCCACGCTCTTCCAGACGGATGGGCAGGACTACAAGGCTGGTCGTGTGGTGGAAGACCTCATTAACCACTACGTGGTGGTGTTTAGTGTGCGTCCCTGGCCAGCGGGCAGTGGAGGGCAGGGTGAGCCACCCAGATGGCAGAGATGGCAGTGACCCCCAGTCCCTGCCCCTCTCCCCTTCCCAGGTGGATGAGGAGGAGCTCAGGAAGCAGCGGGAGGAGATCACTGCCATTGTGAAGATGCGAGTGGCTGGCACTGCCAGTGGGACCCAGGTGAAGGATGGAGCCTGGGTGGGGGGCTTGGGCCCACCTCCTGCACCCATTTCCTAGGCCCCCAGCTGAGCCCTGTCTCCCTACAGCATGCTGGTGACTTCATCTGCACAGTGTATCTGGAGGAGAAGAAGGCAGAGACTGAGCAGCATATCAAGGTAGCTGCTGGAACCTAGAAGCCAAGGGGCCAGAGAGTCAGGCTGGGCCAGGCGCAGGCTCAGATGGCCAGGGGAGCAGTGCTTCCATCTCAAGGAGAGGACCCATTTGGGACCTGTATCTGGCTGGTGCTGTAAGAACCATTCAGAGACACCCCTCTGTATCCCAGGACTCCAGAAGGGCCTGAGAAAGATGGGCTCAGGCTCTGAATCACATAGCAAGGTTGTGGCAGAGCAGGAGCCAGGGACAGGGAGGTTAATCTTCTCCTCGGTCCCTGCAGATCCCGGCATCCATGACTGCTGAGGAGCTCACCCTGGAGATCCTGGATCGCCGGAATGTGGGCATCAGGGAGAAGGACTACTGGACCTGCTTTGAGGTCAACGAGAGGGAGGAGGCAGGTGGGTGACCCTGGGCTTGTGCAGGGTGTGGTGTGGCCTGTCTTGTCTCGTTTATGGCCTATAGCCCCAGCCTGTCCTCCCCTACCCTGTATGTGAGGATGGGTGGTGAGAAGGGCTTTGATGACATGTTGCTGTCACAGTGATGAAGACTGTGATCCCTGTGACGGTGGTGATAGGGTGCTGGCAGGGATTGAGGTGATGCCTGTCATGTGGCTGATAGAAGGGACAGTGAAGGGGTAGATGGTGTTGGCTGTGACGGTGCTTTCTCAGATGTCAGCGACAATGGTGATGGTTGGGATGAGAAAGGTACTTTGTGGTAAAGTGGTCTTGATGGTAGTGGAGGATGAGGCTGTATCTGTTCATTAGTTTTACTGTATTTCTTGAGTGCCAGGCACTGAGCTGGGGAACCACACACACAGTCCCTGTCCTTGTAGGGGTTAGTCTTGTTGGGATGGAGGCGTCAGTCTGAATCATCACGCCAGTACCTGTTCAACTACAGATGTGGTAACTGTTGTGGAGGAGAGACCCATGGCATTGTTAGATCTTCCCCGAGACAGGATGGGAAGGAAGAGTAGGGGCTACTTGGTGAAGAAGGCAAAAGCCCTGTGGTGGCCCTCAAGGAGACGAGGGCAGTGAGGGGTGGTGGCATGGGTAGGGCTGGAGATTAAGGCAGAGGCAGCCAAACAGGGCCTGGCAGCAATGCAAGCCCATCGGAGGGTTAGTGAGTGGGCATTTAAGAAGAGTGCTGCTCACTGCTGGGTGGGGAGAGGAGGGCGAGGGAAATTAGAGCACACTTTGAAGGCCATGGTTTAGTCCAAAGGAGAAGGCAGTAACGTGGGCAGGGGGGCAGCAGTGGAGATGGACACAGCAGAGAGATCTGATGTGTGGTTTGGGAGAGCGAGGAGGGGTTTGTTTCTGGATTGAGCAGCCTGGCATGGAGTGGGTGGTGGTGGTGGTGGTGGTGGTAATTCTCTGATGGGGGACAAGGGGAGGGCAGGAAGGGAGGTGGGGATAGAGCTTGTGGGCGTGGTTTTTCACATGTTGAATTTGAGCAGCTTTGGTCACAGCCAGGTGTGTCAAGCCTGAAGTTTGGTTGTGGGAAGGGTGGTCGTGATGGTGGTGGTGTGTGTCGTGGCACTTGCAGGCGGTTGGAGTGGACAGGGGATGCGTGGGTGACATGTGCCCATGTGCCAGCCCTTGATGGCCATGTGGTCCCAGTGACGGGTGTGACCTCTCCCCAGAGCGTCCCCTGCACTTTGCGGAGAAGGTACTGCCCATTCTGCACAGGCTGGGCACGGACAGCCACCTGGTAGTGAAGAAGCACCAGGCCATGGAGGCCATGCTGTTGTACCTGGGTAGGTGGTGCCAGGCTTGGGGCAGTCCCCTCTTCCAGAGCCAGGGTGGGACCTGGGGGTGCCAGGTAGGAGCAACTCAGGCAGAGGGTGCCAGGTGGGTGGGCATCTATGGAAAGGCTGGGGCAGGATGGGGCAGTTTCCTTCATTCTGGGACCTAGTCCTGGGTAGGGGTTGTTGCAGCCTGTGCCCATTCTGGTCCCCCCCCCCGCCCCCCCAGCCAGCCGTGTTGGTGACACCAAGCATGGCATGATGAAGTTCCGTGAGGACCGCAGCCTTCTGGGCCTGGGCCTGCCCTCAGGCGGCTTCCACGATCGCTACTTCATCCTTAACAGCAGCTGCCTGCGGCTCTACAAGGAGGTCCGGGTAAGTGGCTCCACTGGGTTCTGCCCCAGGGTGGCCACCTGTACCCCTGAATGTGCTCAGAGAGTCCCTTTGGTCTGCAAGTTGAAATATTCCCGCTGCAGGCTCTCAGGATGGCACAGCAGTGGGGGAGAACTGTAGACTCTGAAGACCCCTCCTGCTGTGGCCCTGGATGGCCACTCTACTGTGCCCTGTAGCCCCAGTAGGCCCTGGCACCCAGATGCCGTCACACCACTCCACGCCCATGCTCTGTCTCACTGTGCCTGTGCTGTATCACTGCAGCCACAGGAACCTGCTACTTGATGACAGCCCCAAGTTGTGGCCCATACATGCCTTGTCACATCGTACATCGTCATACGCCTCCCAGGCCACCCTCTGTCACTCACTCTGTCCACGTGCAGGGTGTTCTCCCAACCCAGACTCCATTTGACACCCCCCCACCTTCTGCACATTCGTGCCACACACACACACTCCCCCCCCACCCCAAGCCCCACACATCTCCACACGTGCTGTCCTGACTCTAGACCTGGGACTTCTTCCATAACCCTGATCCTCTATCAAACAGAGCCAGAGGCCATGGAGCGGGGCCCCTGAGACCGTGAGTAGCTGTGGGCTGACTGCCAGCTGCCTTACACCGCCTGGGGGCCAAGTGAGCTGGGTGGTAGCGTGGGGACACAGCCTGAGCTCCTGGCCATCTGCAGGCATGGTTCCCTGCCCCCTTGCCAGTCGGCACTGGGTATCCTATCCTGGGGCCTGGGGCCTAAGCTGCTCCCCTTTACCCCTAATCCTGTTCCAGGGTCCTTTCCCTAAGATAGGTTCCCTATCAGTGCAATGCTCTAGAATTTTCCAAAGGACTCAGTGTGGAAGTTAAAAATCCAGTAATGGTGGCACCTAGGTTTGCCTTAAAGCTCTGATCTTCATCTCCTGTTATCCCTGGAGCCACGCTATTTCCAACCCTGGACAGAGTTCCAGGACTGTTGGAATGTTCTTGCTACTGCCCTGACCCTGACATGCCAGGGTGGGACGAGAGAGGCCTGTGGGATACCCCCACCTAGGGTAGGAGTGTTTCTGAGGCCTCCCTGGCTGGCTGTTTCTGCTCTACACACTCCTAGGAGAGAGAGCTCATGCCGTCCTCCCTTGGGGCTGCCCTACTCCTAGGAGGGTACTTCTGCCTGGGAGAAGGCCCTTGTTCAGGTTCTGCTGAGAAATCTGCATCTCATGATGCCCCTTTGGATCTCAGCTATGCCTTGGGGGCCACAAGCATAGATGCTCTCTATCAGGGGTCCTCAGCCCCCAGGCCACAGAGCGGTAGCTGCTTGTGACCTGTTAGGAACAGGACCGTGCAACAGGAGGTGAGCATTGGGCGAGCGAGCGTTGCCCCGGCCCTGCCTCCTATCAGGTCAGCAGCAGCATTAGATTCTCATGAGAGTGCGAACCCTGCTGTGAACTGTGCCAGTGAGGGATCCAGGTTGTGCACTCCTTAAGAGAATCTAATGTCTGAAGATCTGAGGTTTAACAGTTTCATCCTGAAACCATCCCCCTGCCCATGGAAAAATTGTTGTCTGCGAAACTGGTCCCCGGTACCATAAAGACTGGGGACTGCTGCCCTGCAGGATGGGCAGCGGAGACAGGGTTCCAAGCCCGGTGGTCTAGCCTGAGCTCCCACAGCCACCGCCCCCCACCCCACCCCACCCCCAGTGTCTTCAGCGCCTTCCAGCCCCTTGCATTTCCTGAGGACATCTCAACAGGCTTGGCTGTCATGGTGGGAGCAGAACGGATAGAGCAGGACCTCATCTCCTTCTCTTTGCATTTTGTGCTTCTGTCGATGCATCCTGGGCTCCTGCTAGCCCTGTGGGAAACGCCTTCTCTTCTCTCCTTTGCCCTCCTCTGTGATCACATCTTCACTTCTGAGCTTGTCCTCCTATCCAATCCATCCCTCTTGGTTCTGGGATGCTATCTCCCGGGCCCCTCCCTCTAGGAGTGCTTAGGGACCTGCACTGTGGGCAGAAGGGAGGCAGGATGGCTCCCTGGAAAGGCAGCTGTGGCTCCCTGGGCATGGAAGGAAGGAGGCAGGAGAGCTGGAAAATGGGATGAGCTGTAATATTCCCTAAGGAACCAGGCTTGGTGCTGGCCCCTCACATCCTGAGACATGGAATCCTTACTACTGTTCTCTGAGGAAGAGGGCTGTCCCCGCTTCCAAGTGAGAAAACAGGCTTTGCGCAATTTGCCCAAGGCCATCTGTAAGTGTAGACTGGGACTCACACCCAGGTTTCTTAGTGTGGAAATGCAAGCTTTGTATTCCTGGATGTCTCAGACTTGAGAACTCAGCAAGGAGGGACCGCTCAGCACAGGGTGGGTGGTGCTCCCCATGCCCCAGTGACAGCCAACACCTCTGGCTTGGCAGAGGCCCTAAGCAGGTGTGGGCTGGTTACCACAGTGTTAGCAATTCTGGCATTTGTTTGTTTATGTGGCAGTAGGACAGAATGTTTGAAGTTAGGACAATCCCAGGTGATTCAGGATTCAGGATCCAGGTGATTCAGGCACAGGTGATTCACTTGTGCCTTATCCTGGGGGTCTCCTCTTGTTAAAGACCCTGAGGCACCTGGAAAAGGCACATGCTAGAAAGCTCTTGGTTCCAGCAGAGATCCTTAAGCATCAAGGGTAAACTTCATTGTCTGCCAGTGACCTGGTACCAGTGACCTGGAGATGCTGGAAACATGAGCTGTCTGATTAGAAATGAAGTCCTTGGGCCAGGTGCAGTGGCTCATGCCTGTAATCCCAGCACTTTGGGAGGCTGAGGTGGGAGGATCTCTTGAGCCCAGGAGTCTGAGACTAGCCTGGGCAACATGGCGAAACCCTGTCTCTAAAAATTTAGCCAGACGTGGTGGTGCATGCTTGTAGTCCCAGCTACTCAGGAGGCTGAAGTAGGAGGATGGCTTGATCCCATGAGGTGGGGTTGCAGTGAGCTGAGATTGCACCACGACACTCCACCTTGGGGGATTCATTCTCAAAAGGAGATTGCATCGACTGAGATCCTCTCCTCCTAAGACCCGCTTCTGCAAACTTCCTGTGTCAGCCACCCTCACGTCAAACACGTGCCACGCACATCAGACCCCGAGGAATCGGAGGCCTGAGGGTTGTTTTCATTCTCGGAGCCACAGCCTGGTTTGAATGCCTTGATTCCTGCAGTTTTCTCCGCTCCTGACTGGGCCAGTCCCGTCTTCCCTTGACTCACTTGACTGCTTGCTTCTACTTCTGTTCCCCTCCCACCCACAGCCTGACTTCTTCCAAACCCACAGCCTGTTTTCCATCCCCTCGGCCTGATTCCTCCGGTACCTGCAGTCCAGTTTTCCCCGCATCCTTCCTTCATCACGCCCAGAGCCTTGTGTTTTCCGTGCCTGGAGCTGAATCTCTTTTACAGCCTCTATCTCAGTCTTTCCATTTCTGCCACCAGCTATCTTCCGGTGTGCAGGCCTTTTGCTTCGCTGCTCCCAGCCTTGCTGCTTCCCTGCGTGCATGCAAGTTTCTTCCTTGTATTCTCCCACATCTTGTTTCTTCTATGTCTGCAGCCTGATCCGCCCTCCCCTCCCCCCGAGTTTCCTCCCTGTTTGCACCCCTGAGTGTCCCATGCTTGCAGCCCAGTTGGTTCCAGGCCCTCCTGGGCACATGTCCATCATCACGTTAGGTGCTATCTATAGAAGACATGGGGCTTTCCAATCGGGGTGTCGGGGTGAAAGCAGAGTGAAAAATCCTTACTAAGGCTCTCCTAAGCCACACCCCTTTGAGAGCACAGAGGTCTCCACCAGTCCCTAGGCAGCCCATCCTTTTGTGATATCACAGGAAGTCCACCAGTTCCTGAAACTTCCCCCTCCCCTGGCTGTCTCTCAGTTCCTTCTCTGGCCCCTACTGAGGAGCCATGCCTGGAGGTGGCTGGGAGCCATGGTGGGGAACAGGGGAGAGGTGGCTCAGTCTTTGACCCCCAGTTTCGGTTGTAAGTGAATCTCCCTCCCCTGCCATTCACTCTGGTGCCCCTGTGGGCTTCAGGGGTGCCTGGTAGGGGTAGGGCTTTAAGCAAGTGGCTCCCAGAGCAGGAGGAAGCCTTGTTAGCTTGACCTCCAACCATCCTCTTCCTTGGGGGTCATTGCCCCCATCCCTCTGCCTCCGAGCCAGCCTGCTCCTTCCAAGCCCAGACCCATATGCTGAGGCAGGGGCCAGAGGTGAACCTTTTGGCAATCTGGTGCCCCTCCCCAGTACATTGGTCTCTTGCTTCCTGACATAGACCATTGGGAAGTTCTCTTATGGTCTATTGAACAGCTGTTCCGCTTTAGCTAGAGTCATTAGGCTTCTTGTGGAAGCAAAGAGCTAGTAACTGCTGGTCCCTCTAGCCTTCTGTTCACACAGTCAACCCTGGAGCCTCCACAGGGCAGAGAGGGGTGAGAAATGAGGAACCTGAGATGAACACAGACACAAGCAGCCAGCCGAGGTGCCCTGGTCACATTTGCTTGTTCCAGCTTGGTGCTGGGGGAGGATGTGCAGTTCTCCCTCCACGTACAATCTGATTCAGGCCGATGCTGAAGTCAGTTCTCCAGTTTGCAGGGCAGCAGGGTGGTGCTGGGATTCGCTGTTACAGATGTCCCAGGTGGGACGGCTGCCTCGGAGACTGAGGGTTGACTGTCTGATACTGCTGCAGGGAGAGAGGCCTTGGGGGCCTAGGGCTGGGGGTTGGTTGGGCTGGATTGTGAACAGGGAGAGCTTTGTCAGGAAGGCTTCCTGAAGGAGGTGCCCTGTGCTGGGATGCAATGAGGGCTTGGGAGTGGGAGGAGGGAGGTGCCCGGTGGGCAGAGTGGCCCCATTGTCTACTCTGCAGACTAAAGTGCCCTCTTCTCCCCGCCCTACCTCAGAGTCACCGGCCTGAGAAGGAGTGGCCCGTCAAGAGTCTCAAAGTCTACCTGGGAGTGAAGAAGAAACTCCGGCCACCCACCTGGTAAGCTGGGACTGGGCAGGGGTCTATGGGGCTCAGAACTGATGGGGGAGGCACAGCTGGGGATTTTAATTTGACAGGTCGGTGCAGGGGCTCTGATGGCGTGGTCCAGACCACCTGGACACACCTTCAACACAAATTCTCGGCCAAGGGTAGTGGCTCATGTCTGTTATCCCAGTACTTGGGGAGTCCGAGTCAGGTGGATTACTTGAGCCTAGAAGTTTGAGACCAGCCTGGGCAACGTGGCGAGATCCCATCTCTACAAAAAATACAAAAATTAGCTGGGTTTGATGGCGCACTACTCAGGAGGTGGGGACTGGGAGGCTGGTGGGGGCTGAGAGAGGAAGAGGCCAGGGCATGCCACTCTTGTGAGAAGGCCCTGAACTCTGGCTCTGGCTATGGCTGTGGCTTCTGGGCTTTGTCTTGGGAACCAGGGTGTCGAACCTCTGTGGCCTGTCAAACACCCCGCTCTCTCCCCTCTTCCTTTGCAGCTGGGGCTTCACAGTGGTGCATGAGACAGAGAAACATGAGAAGCAACAGTGGTGAGTGAGCACCCCGTCCTAAGACCCCAGACTGAGAAAAGATGGTGGCACGTCCCCCTTCACCAGGTCCCTCGTCACTGCTCAGATCCGTGTCCTCTGGTAGACCGTCGGGTGGTGAGGCGGACACGGTGTTCCCTGCTCAGCCAGGCCTTTGGCATCATCCAGGTCTGCGTCCCACCCTTAGGTACCTCTGCTGTGACACGCAGATGGAGCTCCGGGAGTGGTTCGCAACCTTCCTGTTTGTGCAGGTACCAGATGCAGAGTGTGGGGTGTGGGGTGGGAAGCCCTGGAGGCTTCCATTGTGGAGAATGGGCACACTGGCTTCTGCACTACTCAGGCCACCCCTTGCTTCAAGATTTTTGAGTTGCTTTTAATTCAGCAATAAATTGATAGTTTATTCAGCAAACCCTTTCTATCACCTACTGTTAGTCCCACCCCAAGCCGAGGATGCTAGGAACAGACAGGACACAGACCCTGCCCTTGGGGCACTCCTTCTGTAGACAGGAAAACAGACCCAGAAGCAGCCAGTGATAGCCCACTGTGATCAGTGCTGTGGTGGCTGCAGGGAGCCCAGGGAATCTGAGTTTTATGAAATGTGCGAGAGGCTAGACACGGTAGCTCATGCCCGTAATCCCAGCACTTTGGGAGGCCAAGGTGGGTGGATCATGAGGTCAGGCGATCGAGACCATCCTGGCTAACATGGTGAAACCCTGTCTTTACTAAAACAAAACAAATCGCATGTCTGTAATCCCAGCTACTCGGGAGGCTGAGGCAAGAGAATCACTTGAACCCGGGAGGCGGAGGTTGCAGTGAGCCAGGATGGCGCCACTGCACCCCAGCCTGGGCAGCAGAGTGAGACTCTGTGTTTAAAAAAAAAAAAAAAAAAAAAAAGGCAGTGTGGGAGAAGGGAAACAGCTTCTAGGCAGGGGGCGTGGTTTAGGCAAAGGTCTGAAGATGCACAAGAGAAGCGTAGGTGGTTACAGTGGACTGTGAGGGGAGAAGCCAGGAGTGCAGGAAGTCCGCACGGAAACGGGAGTGAGGAGCAGAGTCTCAGAGAGCCTTGGAGACCACGCCAGGGAAACTAAACTTGACAGTGGGCCATGGGGAACCCTGGTAGGGGCACGGGTGGTGTTTAGGTAGAGCGTGGTGCAGGCTGGAGTCTGCCAGGGCTCGCTCTGGGTGCAGCGTCAGGAAGAGGGAAGGAGGGTAGAGCCCAGAGGTGAGCAGGCCAGTTTAGGCAGTGGCTGTGGTAGCCGAAGCGGGGACATGGTGGGGACGACTCCTGAGCCAGAGCCGGGCCAGAGGCTGGGTTAGACTTGAAACAGATGAGTTAAGACAAAGAGTTTTTCACGTAAGAGTCCACAAGTGTTTAAGAAAAAGGGAAACAAAACGACCAGGGTGGGCTGAGTTCTTTCTTGGAGGTGTGTTCTTTTAGCTCTGAGCTTCCTGGTAAGCAAAGCCTAAAGGGAAACAGGGTGGATTCTGTAGTTCCCGGTTCCTAAGAGGGGGCGCAGACCTGTTCCTCTAGGAGAAATGTTTTCTTGGTTCTTGGAGGGGCTTGTGGATCTGGAGATGGGAGTTGTTGAGTAACAGAACTGGCCATGTTTTGCCAGAGATGCAGTCATATTCTCCCCACAGCTGCTTCTCATATCGGCTGGGATCAAAGCTGAGGGAGTCATCTGAGATCACAGCTGGAGGCGTTTCTGGGAAGGGTGGGCAGATCTGAGGCTGAGTGTCTGGCTGAGCTGAAGCTGAGCCCAGCCCCCTCCTCTCCCTGCTCCCCAGCACGACGGCCTGGTGTGGCCCTCAGAGCCCTCTCGCGTGTCCCGGGCAGTGCCTGAGGTCCGACTGGGCAGTGTGTCACTGATCCCCCTTCGAGGCAGTGAAAACGAAATGCGCCGGAGTGTGGCTGCCTTCACCTCGGACCCTCTGTCTGTGAGTGGCTCTCCATGCCTTTGGACAGGGGCTGGTTACCTGCCTTCTATTCCACAGTAGATGATTCTCCTAATTGCCCTCCCACCCCCTCCCTCCAGCTTCGGTGGGGGCCCTCATAGGCCCCTTTGGTTCACACCATTCACAGGAGCCCCTTCTGCTTGGTCCTGGGAGCTGGGAGTCCCCTGTGCCTGGCCTTGGGAGCTGGGAGCTGCCTCTGCCTGGCCCTGGGAGCTGGGACCCCCCCCTCCCCCCGCCACCCTGTGCCTGGCCCTGGGACCTGGGAGCCCGGCAGACTGGAGTGTTCCCCGGCCGGCAGCCGAGAGTGGCTGCAGCAACTTCAGCAGGGCGCTGGCCCCTCTGGGTCTTCACAAAACGCCTGTGGGCCTCTTGCCTTCCTGCAGCTCCTGCGCAACGTCTGAGCACAGGAGCCCACCCTTGGCTCTAGGATTCCGCCGCTGGAAGCCTTCTGTTGGGACACCCATTATGCCCCAAGGCCTGGTGTGAGCCAGCAGAGGTTGCATGGGAACCGGCACCCCACACTCACGTCCTCCATCCTGACTGCGGCATGGGGTTCCCTGGCTGGGGTGGGAGGCAGCAGGGTTAGCCTGGGCGGGAGTCTCTCCCAGCTGTGTCCAGGTGTTCAGTCCTCGTGGCCCAACCTGCTCACCCCCCGGGTTCACTGTCCCGGAGTTTGCGGGGCTGGAGAGATGGGCATAAGTCAGGAACGTGGGAGGACTACCACCCTTTAAGAGGCTTGAGGCCCTGGGGCCCCCGCTGGAAGGGAGCCCCCTGCTCCCCACAACAAACTCCAGAACAGCAGAAAGCGGGTGCTCTAGAGGAGCACTCCGCCCGAGGGGAGGGAGCTCTTGGCTGAGCTGCTACAGGGCTGAGAGCTGTACTTTGGGGTTTTCAGCCTGCCTTCCAGTCTGGGCTTACTGGGAGGTCCAGATGACCCGATGCCCCTTCCCCACTTTGGAGGCTTTTTGATAATATAAATATATCTGTATATTTTACCCTAAGATGCTGAGGCCTGTGATTGGTTAAGGGGATTGGGCGTCATGGGGTAGAGGACAGGAGGTCAGGAAGCCCAGGGGTGAGTGTCCAGTGCCTGAAGCTGAGAACCTAGGCCTTGCTTCTTCCAGGCCCTGAGCTCTTCAGATGACCCCCTTCCCCAAGCAGAGCCCTGTCCTGGCTCCATGCCACCCCCATTGTACTATTGTGCAGCTGGGCTGGGAATGTTGGTCCTATCCTGGCCAGCAGTGACCCTGAATGGACCTGAGTCCCTGTCCTGCTGCAGTGTGAGTCTGAGTCCCAGCTGGGTCCTGGGTGTGGTGTCTCAGCGACGCAAGCCCAGCAGCCCTGCCGCAGCCCCTGCTGGAGACACAAGGTCAGACCACGGGAGCCTGAGTAAACTAGGAAGAAGGACCTTCAGGTCTCATGTGGCCTCTGTGCCTGCTCCTCCAGAGGTGAGGCCTGCCGTGCACTGGGGGCCACCCTCACTGGGCACTGCCTGGCCATCTCCTCCAAGAAGGAGAGACCCTGGCCTGCAGGGGAGATCATGAGCTCCTCAGAGATGGGTTTGGGACTCCCTGGGGAGGTGCCAGACACCACATTCCTGCCTTTGCCTAGACCCTCATTACCACCCGCTCTTCTGGGGCTCAGTGCGCCGACAGGTTGACCTCCTGTCCTTAGCCTCATTGGGCCAGTGGGGCTGGGCAGAGTGGGTGAGGATGGGCCATGTGACCTCTGACTCAGGCGTCCAGCTCAGTGGGGAGCCTGGGGTCCAGCAGCACACTTGGAGACCGGGACTCCAGGTTCCCTCTCCCTGTCCCTCAGGAAGGGGAGGTATATGCCAGGAGACTGGAACCAGTTCCCCGAGTCCTGCTGACTCGTTTCACAGGCTGGAACCAATCCCCTTGAGTCTCCCACCCCATGTGGGCTGCTCTGGGCCAGATCCACAGGTCAAAAGCATGATTCTGCCTCCAGCCAGGACAGGGCTGATGGACCCCCTTATCCCAGTGCTTGGGGTCCAGAATCTGCTCCTGGATCTGACCTTGCACTGCTCAGCCAGCCTGAGTGGGTGAGAATGGAGGCGCCCCCTGCTATGCTGTGGCCACTGCCCCAGCTCAGGAGGCTGGTTGCAGTACTGCTCTGGGCCACAAGGCGGCAGCCACGGACCACTCATCGTTGCTAGAATCAAAGCAGGGTCTGGAGGACAGCAGGGTGGTGGTGCTGGCCCGGGCGTTTCTCTGCTAGAGTGTGAACCGGGACCCAGTTCTGCCTTTGGTTCGCAGGCTGGTGACATTCTGGAAGGCAGCACGTACAGGAATGTGCTTTGGAGTCCTGGGCTCTGGGACCCAGGAAGAAGCGGGAACAGCCTTCTACCAAGTGCCTGATGTGACTTGGCCCCTGTGCCTCCTGCACTGTCTGCTCTTGACAAGGCGGAGCTAGGCCCAGAGAAGGGAGGCCGCTTTCCCAAGGCCACACGATGCCCGTGAAGCAGTCCTGAGGTCCATTCCCACTGCCCTACTTTGGTGGAGTCTCCCTCTTTGACTTACTCCTGATTCCAACTGTTTGCTCCTCTTACAAGTGGCCTAACTTGTTCCCTGAGGCAGGGGGTCTCAACTGTCAGTTAATGATGGCATAAAGTGCTTTCCCTCTGGTAGAGGGTGGGGTGACATCCTAACAGGAGCCTCAGGGCCTCAGTCAGAATGATATATGCCTGTGACAACAGTGTTGGATGGGTTAGGGGCAGGAGGCTCTGCTGGTTCTTGTCACAAGGATTCCTAAAAATGGGGCCTCTTGGGCCCCTGGGCGGTTTGCTCATTCACATATTATTTGAAGTCAGGTTGCCAGGGATGGGTTGAAGAGCCCAGACCTAGACTTTCAGAGGGGCTGAAAGTAGCTCTTGGAGAAGGAGGGGCTTCCTGGATGAGGAGGTGCTCCTGAGCCAGCCTCAAAGACCGGAGGCCTTGCCAGGCACAGTTGTGGTAGAGGTTGAAACGTTGGAGGAGGACAGGGCTTCAAGGATCAACCCAAATCCAGGCCCAGCACCTGGGGACCATGGGGAGCCCTGGGAGAGAAGGCTGAGGCATGTCAGAACCTGGATGATCAGGGCATTGCAGGAGGGGAGGCCAGGAGGCAGAGGGGAGGGGGGCAGGGAGGTGATGTGGGATATCTACCTCTCTCCTGCCTCCTTCCAGCATAACCTTCCTACCCTGCAGAATTCTGAGGCGTCCTGGGGCCTCTGGAGAAGGAAAGCAGTGGAGCAGGGAAGGGCAAGAGCTGGGCCTTCTTTCCTGGCCCCGTGCCCTGGTGGCCTCCAAGCTGCCTGCTCCCAGCTTGCTGTCTTGGAAAGCACATGTGTGTGGATGCCAGTGCTCCTGTTTACAAGCCGTGTGACTTCGCCTGAGTTACTTAGGTCTCTGATCCTCAATATTGTCATCTGTACTTTGTGGGTGTTAATAGTAGCTACCTTCTAGTGGTTTGGGAGAATTAAATGAGCTAGTAATTGTGAAGTGTCTGGTACTGTCCCTTGCTAATCTTCCTTTTCAAATGTCTGAGAAGATATCATGGCATATCCTAGGCCCAATATTTTTTGCACTCAACAAGTGCTTGTTGAACATCGACTGTATGCAGAGCTTTACTGAACACTGAGTGGGAGCAGATGAGCGAGTGGTGTGGAGGAAGGTGGAGACCTCCCGGTGGAGGATATTGATGAGGAAAGATTGGAGGAGGTGAGTCTGAAATTAGAGGCAGCTCTCTGCAGGTGGGGGAGAGGAAGTGGCCTGAGCACAGGCAAGGGGATGGCAGTAAGTGACCTGCTGTGGCTGGGGTACAGTGCCCCATGGCACCCTAGGGCCTGTCCCCCAAGCCCCTACCTCTGAGATATGACCACATCCCAGTCAAATGGGCTCATTGGGATCATCCCCCATCAGAACAAGGAACAGTTCCTATTCTCTTAGTCAGCTCTGTGACCTAAGTGACCCTGACCCTGCTCTGGGGACCATCTCTCACACGTCTAAGTACAGTGGCCTCAACCTCCCAGCCTTTCCTCCAGTGTAACATCTTCAGAAAGCTCTTCTGGGTTGCTCTTCCATCCCACTGTGCCTCTTAGGGTATGTGTATATGCCCAGGTCACCACTTGCCGACTTGCATCCAGGGATTCACTTAGGAAGAACGGTCAGGGACAGTTCCCCTGGTCAGCCAGAGTTGGCCCAGCCCTAGCATGTCCCTTCTCCCACGCCACTTCCAGCCTGTGGAAATTTCCGTACTTTGTCTGCCCTGGTTACAGCTCCTACTGCTGTATTTATCACCCTGGAGACACAGTGGCACAGGCGCACACATGCCACACACACTCAGGCCTGCACACATGTGCCTGCACACCTCAGCCTGTTCCTCCAGTTCTGCGAGTGCATGCTGCTCGGGCACACATACACACACGTGCACACACACAGCACGTGGATGAACACACACACACACACACACACACACACACACACACGGCACGTGCATGAATACCACCCACACAGAGCTCTCTAGGAAAATTGCTCCCCTTCGCTCCTGCTCCTCCTCCTCCACCCTGTCCTCCCACCACCACCCACTTCCAAACGCTGAGACCAAAGAGATGGGCTGGACGGTGCCTCCCACCACTTGTCAGCCTGGGACTCCCTCCTCCCTCCGCCCGTCTGCCTCCCCAGCTCTCCCTGCCTCCCCCTCGCCCTGCCATCTCTCTGCGTTCCTGTGTATCTGCCCTCCACACAAGTCACTCTGAGGCCTCTTTTTGTTACTCTTTTGACTCTGAAGTGGAAACTGCTCCTCCCAGCTTTCCTGAGAGACTCAGGATGGGGACCTCATAGGGTAGATGGAGGCATAGGGACAAGTGGAAGGGACCCCAGGTCCTGAATCTCCTCAGCTCCTGTCGCCCTCAGTCCCTCCTGTTGGGTTAGGGGAGAGCTGTGTGTCTGGCACCATGGAGACCAGCGTCATGGCAACACAGTTCGGATGGACACAGTTTCCTTCTCCTGGGGTGTGGGGTCCATAGGAGGAGCTACCAGGAGGCGCTGAGGAGGTGGGCCTAGTGCTGGTGCCCACCACAGCTGCCTCCGGCTCACCATTCCCAGGACAGCCTCCCAGCCTCTCTGCGAACTTTGCTTGCCACTGCAGCTTCCAGTGCCACAAGTCACTGATCCCATTTGGGAAATCCTCTCAAACACCAGCGCCAGAGCTGGGGGCCAGAGAAGGCAGGGGCTTGCTGAAGGTCACACAGCAAGTGGGGCCAAGCTCCTGACTCTCAGACCTTTCTCCGGTCTCCCACCTTCCACCCAGAAGGAGGGCACTGGGGGCAAAGGGGTCAGTCTAACCTCAGTTCCCACCACTATCTCTAGCCAGCCCTTAGAGTTGGCAGTGGGAATGAAGATGCATCGTGGGGTGCCCACTATCCGCTGTGCCAAGGCTTTGCATGTGTCATCACATTTCATTCCATCAGGACCCAGGAGGAAGATGGCTGGTAAGTGGAGGAGCTAGGACGGGAACACAGGTCCTCCCCGATGGGGCAGGCGAGCCAAGGTTCGTGTGTATTGCTGCTCCACTGGGCGCCCTTTTAAAAGAATGGCAGTTTTCAATCTTCTTGCTGGAGAGAGTGTAGGGGGAGGATCTGGGGCATAGTCTGGCTTTAGGGTTTCTAGAAACCAGGGGGTATTTTTCTAAGAAGATAGAGAACAGAGCCGTCCTAGTGTGGTTAGACCTAGGGAAGACCTTTGCTGCAGTGCAGCAGTGTAGGCCGGCCTCCAATTCCCAGGTCAGGCTGGAGTCTAGGGATAGAGGGGAGGAGACCCCTGCCTCCTGCGCCTAGCCTCAACGTGTCTCCCGACCTTGATGGAGTCACGTTGCAGCTGCCTCCCTCCTGGCTTACGTAATAATTCAAATATAGCAGCTGCCTTTATCCCACTGAGTCACACCCCCTCTATCCCCCCTCAGGTGTGGGGAGTTATGGGGGAAGAGGTGGTTAAGGGCTGAGTGGGAGGTTCAGGGCCTCCTGGCAAGGAAGATCCTGGTGTGCTGGGTTGGAGGGTGGTGGTGGTGGTGGTGAGGGGCTGGCGCTGAGGCCCCAAGAAGAGCGAGCCTTTCCCAGAATATGAAGCCACAGGCGCCACTTCTGCCCTGACCCATCTCTGCTGGAATTCCACGTTCTTGGGGGCCATCCCCAGAGTCACAAGCTATATGCACAGCCTTCTCTGGTGGGCCGCTGTCCCAGCTGGAGGAGGTGAGGTGGGAGGAGGGAGAACGGGAAGAGTATGAAGAGGGGGAAGTAGTCCGGTGGGGCAATGGCCAGTGTCTCTGGTCCTAGGATCAGCCCCGCCCTTCACTTATTGGGTTACCTGGGCACCCTCTGGCCTCAGTTTTCCCATCTGTACCATGAGGGATTGGATTCACTGGCTCTAGCATCTCATGCTCTGTGATTTATAACCCTGGAGATGATCTCAACCTTAGGCTGAAGGCACTTCCGAGTGTCTGGGGCAGCTCCGTTCCAGGCTGACTTCCCTTTCCCTTTTCTCTGCCATCCCTCCTGGACCAGTGTAGCCACCCCGCCCCCAGCCCCCCCGACACACACACACAGGACAAGGTAGGCAGGAGAGGGCCCTGGACTTGGTTGAGGGGCTGGGCAGCCTCAGGCGGCTTCTCCCTTCCCTGAACGCACTATCTGTTCCAGCCCCCCAGCTCCCTGCCTAGCAGCCATGGAGAGGTCACTGCCCTCACATGGGGTCACCCCTTCCTCACAGGGCAGCTCTGATGGATCCTGGAGCCTGAAGTGGATCCTTCATGCCCCAGCCCTGGGTTCTGAATCCCAAAGCCACCTTCCTGAGGTGTGAAGAAGCTGCTTCACCTTGGAACTACTGTGGAGGCTGTGGTGGCCTTTCATTCCTTTATCAGCGAAAGCTTTGTCACCTGTTGTGTGATGGGGGCCTTCCTTGGTGTGAGAATGCAAGGGCCCATGTCAGGCCCTTCCCAAGGACATGGTGCTCCTTCAGCCGTTGTCATCAGAGCCGCAGAGGGGAGCTTCCTGGCAGAGGAGGAGCGGGGAGAAACACTGTTGAACAGCTCCCTGAGCTCCCCACTCCACCCCTTCCCCTGCCCATTGCGAAGACCCAGTTGTGGACTTATCCTGTCCCCAGCCAGAGGGAGTCACCTGGGGGTGTTCAGGCCAACCCTTCATGAAATCCACGTTCCACCAATGACCAGCCTTTCCCCAGAGAGCTGAGGGCTGCCCTGGGGTGGGGGTGCTCACAGAGCAGGTAAGCGAGGGCCCTCCGTTAACTGCCTGCATCCCCATACAACTGTGGTCTCTTGTCTGCAAGCAACACGTGCTCCTCTGTGCCCCGGGCCGAGCTCTGTTGTGCACCACCCCATTTCCATCTGCCTCCTCCTTTCTAACTTTCGTCCATCAACATTTCCTGCTTGGACCTCTTGGGGGCTCCTCAAAGGCTGTGGACTAGGGCCGAGGTAAATAGGGCTTTGGCTTATCTTTTGAGGAAAGCAGGATCCTGTAGAAGAAATGAGATAAGTCTTCAGCCTGAGCGGGGGTGCGGGTGTGTGTGTGACAGCTGGTGGTGAGACAGCTGGCAAGCTGGCACATTAGGGAAGGGAGAGGCCACCAAGGATCTCTAGCCGAAAATCCAGTTTCCTTGTGGGTGGAAGACAGGGTGTGTGCTGACTGGCCCAGCAAGGCTAGGCCAGGATTTGGGATGGGCGTAGAAAAGGAAGAGGAGGGGTCAGTCAGCCTGGGAGGAGAAATAGTGTACAAAGTTGAGGAGAAGACCAGCATGTGCTTAGGGACCAGACCTGGCTCCACCTGGAGACGAGGATGGGCAAGGTCTGTCAGGGATGCATCACGAGAGACCTCAAATGCCAGGCTGAAGAGCTCGGCCTTGATCCTGAGGGCAATGAGGAGCCCTGCAAAGGTTTTGAGAGGGAGTTCTATGACCAGATAGATGTCTTGGGAGCCACCTCTAAGTGCAAGGTGGAGGTGGAGTAGAGAGGTTGACCCGGGGTAGGGGCTGGAGCGTGACCAGGGGACGGGGAAGGAAGCAGGGGATGGGGATGGAGGGAGTGGACAGATGTGAGGGAATCTACTGTTCTTTGGAACAGATTTGATACTGGAAGTTTAGGAGAGGGACGGGGCAAGGCGACTTTGAAGTGTCCAGCTCGGCAGTTAGAAATTTGCTGATGCCTTTAATAGAGAGAAGAGGTGTATTGGATGTTCAGTATTTGAGTATGAGGGATTGTTTCCACAGGAGATATCCAAGAGACAGTGTGGACACGGAGCTCCATGGGGTGGGATGGGCGGCAGAGGACACCCGGAGTTGTTGCTATGCTGGGAGGCTGCATGCTCCCTGGGAGTGGGGTGGAGGATGAAGAGAGACGGGGCTGGCGTCCTGCGAGGAAGATCCATATTGAGGGGGCGAGGACAGGGTGCGCCAGTGAGGGAGACAGAGGAGGGGCCGTCTGGAAGGTGGGAGGGAAACAGCCGCGCAGGACAGGGCGGGGGCGGGCGCTGAGAAGAAGCCGCCTTCTTCGGTAAAGTAGCTGAAGCCTGTGGAGCCTGCAGTTCTCTCAAGGCTTTGGGGGCAGCGCGGAGGCTGGATTCCAGAACTGCATCCTCCCTCCTCACATCCCACCTTCAGTTCCCCAGCTAACAAAAAACGGTGTCTATGGATCCCCGGCGGGGCGGGCCGGGCCGGGCCTGTGAACCCGGCTCTCACGGCTCAGCACCCTGGAGAGCGGCCTGCGGCGGGGGCGGGGCACTGCCGTCCGATCCCTTGGGCCTTTGGCTCCGGCTGGGAGCGGTCTTGCAGACTGGCAGTTGGCGAAGGAGGGAAGAACAGTCTTGGATTGTCTCCAGCTCTCTCCCCTTTATGCACCTCCGCCATCCTGGCACTGGCCCACAAGAGCCCCTGTCCCAGCATTTGGGGCTATTACTCTCTTGGTTCCATCAATTCGACGACTTCAGGGAAGGAGATGGGAGGGGAGGGACAACTATTTACTGGGAACTTTTCAGACATACCCAAAATCTCACAGCCTTTTGAGTTTGAAATTTGTGACCCCATACTTCAGATGAGAAAACTAAATTGAAGTTCAGAAAGGTAAACTACCTTGCGCAGGCATGTGGCAGAGCTGGGATCTAAGTTCCCGAGTGCCCATTAGCCCTTCTGAGTCCTGGATCTTGCATCTTGCATCTTGCCCCTGCAGACTGTCCACTTCCGGGTGGCTGTGGAGTCTGGTGTGGCACTGGGATGGGAAGGAGACCCTTCCTTCCACCTACTTGTTTGGGTGTATCACCAGGAGATTTCTGAGGATGAGGCCACCACCATTGTTTCTGGAGTGGGAGGGCAGAAAGGAGGCTGAGGGCCAGGTGAGACCTCCTTGCACCTGCACCCACCCACACCCAGGAGGCATCCTCCTTTGAACTCTTCTGACT